GATCGCGGCATGCTTTGCTGGCAGCTTCGGCTTCGATGCTACGCTTGTTGAGATCGAGTGATAGCTTTGCAATCCTTTTAAGCGCACGTTCATGCTCCTCTGCGGTGAAGTAGCCTGGAATATGGACGATTGGTAGTAGTTTATTGACCGAGTTTGCTGTTGTGGTATTATGGGCTGGAACTTTACAGGGAGAAGGTACGATGGGTGCAGTGTTTCCGACTGACTGCAACGGCGCGTTCGTCGGTCTCTCAGATTGCGACTGAGAAGTATTCAGGGTGGGTAAAGTGGTCTTCGGTCCTCGTGTTTCGATTTGGACCTGGCTTTTGGAGTCGGACGCACCATGGCGAGCTTTTTGGAATGTTGAGTTCATTTGTTCTACGCAACACTCTGGATATGAGCATTTAGGAGTGGACACATACCTTTATCAGACAATTTCCGAGCACGGCGAGCTTTGCTGGATCTTGCCATTATGCAGTGTTGTTGTGTCGGCTTAAGGAAGGGTATCTAAGCTACCTGAGGTGGGCAAGGTGAAGGCGATAATTTAAGCAAGGTGAAGGCGAATGTAAACAAGGTGAAGGCGAATGTAAACAAGGTGAAGGCGATATTGTGGACAGAGGCTTAGTCACAGGTAGCTAGCGCATCCCGCACCAGCTCCAAACAGTCCAGCAATGCAATGTCACTTGTGAATGAGATAGTATCATTGGTATGGGACGCTGGTGACAGATTCGATGAGAAGGTGGAGCACAAGAAAGCTTGTTGCGTCTGGAGTCCACTGTAAGATCCATACTTCAGCTTTGTGGACTGAATATAGGGAAGAAACAAACAGGAAAGGTGATAGACTCTTACTACTTTTGGTATCCTTTCACATACGCAAACACAGTCAGGCCAGTGAATAGAACACATCGATCACTTATGCTGGCCAACCCGCATGGTACTTAGACTCATGTACATGCTGCAGAACAAACATACGTGCACATAACTTTCTTACAGAACGTCGTCCGCCACAACGGCTCCAGGGAGTCCAAAGATATGGCCTTCGGGACGTTGATACTTCGATTGATCTATTTTCAATTCTGCAAATGGTATAAAGAGATCGGCAGTGCAGTGGATCATTCCATGTTAGGAAGGAACACAGTTGAACTGGGGATGATCAACTACGGACATGGCGGTGGTGGCTAGATGAAGACGAGTAGTTGAATTCATAGAGGTCATAGAGGACGACTCCAAAAGTCCCACATCGCAAATTTCCAACAGTACCAAAACTTATACATATATTGCTATGTTGAGTTATGGTTCATCAGCAAACCTCACTATATCGTATAGGGGTCGACAAAATTACTTTCTTCAGCTACGGCCCTCGAAGGCGATTAACGGAGTATTTCCTCTAATGTGTTTCTTTGCGCCATAGGAACAGCAAGATTATACACCATTATTTCAGAGTGCATGGTTATCATGTTCTATCAATCGCTTCATGATCTACACGTGCTGCATTATTTTTTTTTCCTTTTTCACAGTAATATGGACATACAATTTCACCTATAATTCTCACGGCAATTCTTTTACATAAATATGCAGCACATCGCTTCGCACTACTGTCTGATAGCAGGCTACGATACTTTACAAATAAGCCAAGGGCTACTTGAGCCTCGCTCATCACCAACTATACATCCCTCAGGTATCTTCACGTTCCCATCTCGCCTCACGGCTACTTGGCCTCAACTTTGATGCCTACATCACCTTCTCGTCGGACCCGCTTTCTCCCATTCGTTGATCCAGGCTCACAGGCAACAACTGTGATCCTGTTGAGCTGGTCCTCGCGCATGGCCACGCGGCGCTTTAGGGCCTCGTTTTCTTTGCCGAGCTTGGTGATGAGAGCGTCTCTCGCATCCCGTTCTGCTTCGAGTTCCAGGACTCTTACCTTCTGACGGTCGAGCTCAGTTTGCAAGTCAGCCTCACCACCACTAACGCGATCAAGGTGAGCTGCTATCGGGACATCGTGGGTATCCTGAGCGTCCTCCGCTTTCGTTACGCTACTTTGTCTTTCCAGCTTATGTGATGGCAATGCCTTTGTCGCCATCTCACGTCGTTGAGCCAGCAGTAAAGTGGCAGGTAGGCTATGTTTGATTTCCGGGCCAGGCGGTCTTGGGTAGTGCTCCTTGACGACGGGATGGTCCCAACACACAACTATAGGCCCCCCTGGAGCACTGATGCCTTCGAGGATCCCAGCTATGCTAAGATAGGCCCATTCGGCCAGTGACGGACGGACTGGCATGTCACTACCTATTTCCAGGATGCGCCCATGCTCTTTCCACCAATCCAACTCGAAATACAAGCGTTTGCAGGGCTTTCCAGGGTGATCTTGGGTATCGCAGATCAGACCTCAGTCGAATGTCAGTACTGGAATACAGTCCGAGCAAGCCATGCTAATCATGCATACATTTCTTCTGACACCTTGGCCCCGCAGTTCCGTGCTTGGGCCGATAGCATGACAAGCATTTGCCTCGAGGATCCATTGCCGACGAATTCATCGCTTCTCCTATCGCGTATTGATCATGGTAGACTCCATTCGGTGGCAAGTATCGCCCGATTGGGAACGGCAAGTTGGTCACGGCAGTCACGCGCTGAGATTCACCCCTTTCGGAAGGAACGAAAATCTTCGTGCTGCGGACCTGTTCATAGGAAGGGAGAATGTCTAGATCGTGTTTAGTTCTCAGCTAGGCTCAGCCATGTGCATAAACGCAAAGGCGAAAGCGAGCGTGTGCTCCTCTCTTCGCAATACATCGTCCATCACCAGAAGGGTTGACTTACACGTCACGAGGCCCTCGGTGCAGCGCACGTAGAATTCGGTGGGGAGACCAGGTCCAGAAGTGTCCGGGGCTGCCTTGGCGGCGTGGAAGGCCTGGTTGAGGTGAAACATGCGGATAGTGTTGCTTTGGTGGTGTAGCCGCCCTTCAACCGTCTTCTCGGGGGGGGGGGGGGGGAGGGATGGATGGGGGATCAGTGCAAGAGATCATGTTGAGTTGGTTGTGAGAACAAGGGACGCGCAACTAGGCCGGTCAGAAACTTGCAAAGAGCAAACGGAAGCACAGCACAAAATTTCCGGGGAATGATGGACAACATTGCCAATGCGCTTACTAAGGAGTACGATGTTTCTCTGGCTGTCCATTTCTCGCATTTAGCAGTGGGGAAGGCGGTCAAGCTTCGAATGTGTCCTTCTTGTAGAGAAGCCACATCGCAGCAAGCAATACGTGAGACTCTGTTGACACATGGTGAAGACGTTCATTAGTTTCGTATGGTAGCTCGTATCATACCCCAAGAGCACTACAGTACAAAACCAGGTTTACAGTAGCCATATTTATCTAAAGTAGACCAAGAAGTGGTTTAGGTAGAAGAAGTAAACCTAAATAGGGTTTATTATACTATATATTCTATAAAAGTAAACTACTTTTATTTCTACTTCTATTAATCTACTAGTATTAGTAATAACTAGTTTCCTACTAACTATTTAAGTATTTTACCCCTCCTTTCTTTAATCTTCTTTACCACCTCTATTACCACCTCTACCACCACCTCTATCACCACCTCTACCACCACCTCTATCACCACCTCTACCACCTCCACTACCTCCACCACCTCTATCACCACCTCTACCACCACCTCTATCACCACCTCTATCACCACCTCTACCACCTCCACCACCTCCACTACCTCCACTACCTCCACCACCTCTATCACCACCTCTACCACTACCTCTACCACCACCTCTACCTCCACTACCTCCACCACCTCTATCACCACCTCTACCACTATCCCTACCACCACCTCTACCACCACCTCTACCACCACCTCTATCACCACCTCTATTATCACCACCTCCTATTAGTAAAAATATCATGACTCATTATTATGTCATATGTGCGTATAGCGTGAAGCTAATCTTTTCTACCCCTTTTAGTCTTAGTTAGGTATTATAGCGTATAATAGATATAAAACTACTTTTTATACTTAATTTAAACCACCTATAATAAAGTAAACTACTACTTTAAACCTATTTACGGGTATACACGAGGTCAGTTTACACCTATATAGTAAACCCCTAGCGTACCATTCTACAGTAAACAATTTTTTACCGTAGTGGAGTGTGATGCAGATTTCAATGGCATCGGCAGGAAATCAAGAGATATTCACTCCATTGTCTTCGCGGAGTCTACAATATCATTCTCGAATTGCAATAGGGCGAATATACCCGTTTATATACCTGTTATCTATAAAACTGCAAAAGACCGCACGGGGCGTAAAAGCGTTCGAATTCGGCCATCAATACCTGAAGTACCGCTAGATCTCGTGTTTCATATGTACATGAACCTCGTCATAGCAACACCGTTGTGTAGGCACAATCAAACCGATTATCAAAGCATGTTCCTGGTCCCGTCTCCCACAGAGTCAATAAACATTGTTCACTGCGAAACGCGAGTGTGCAGTATGGATTGTACATGGAAGTACCATGAGGCAACTTTCACTTCTAATGAATTACACTGTAGTCGCCCCAGGCCGAGAATATGCTGCAAACGAAGCTGTTCCGTTTCCCCCATTTCCGCACGTCCATGACGAAAGTATCAGATCTTCATTACTGCCTACTTCACTGCATCGCTAGCCGACTCCTTGGCATGCGCGGCATCCTCTATACCTGCAATCATGCTCAACCTTTCTCTGCACTCCTTCTGAGCCCTCAGTGTATCCCTCTTCATCACCGTGATCGTGTCGCTAAACCCATCTAGAGCTTCCAAGAGCCCAATGGTCATGGCGAGGGTATCAAGGTGCGATTGCAGAGCAAGCTTGGCTTCGGAGATAGTCGTATCGAGCAGTTCGCGACTGGTGTACTGTGTGAACCCAAACGATTCGAATATACTGTTTTCGCGACTATCGTCGTCCATGTTCACCGTGACGGCGCCAGGCTCCGCAGAGATGTCGTTCAGGACAGTTGGGGCGAGGACCTGAGGCGTCGAGTGCGCGAATGGTGTGGCATCTAAGGCTGGGGCGTTCATATAGGTTTTTTCATTCTTTCCGTTGGCGATAGCTACAGCCTTCGATCTTGCTGCGGATGTATCGTGCTTGTTGGACGAGCGCAATTGTTCGATCTTAGGTTTGAGGTCGCGGAAGACATGACGGAGGAGGCTTTTGGACGCCATTATGGAGCGGCAAAGTACTGTGAATCGTTGCTGAGAACTGCGGTCGCGAATTCACAGGCAGCAGGCGACGATGGTGCGTAAGTGATGTGGGGAGCGCAGTGTGATGTGGCGCATGACTGATGTCGTTTGTATATTCACTTTCACTTTACCGTGTTGCGTGCGCGTTTGTTGAAGAAAATTCTAGCTATTACCATACACGTCGCACTCATTGGCTTGGACAATAGAGACATTCAGTGTACAAAACTGAGTAGCTTGTTAGTCGAAACATGTCGGAGACCTATATTACAAGACAGTTTAAGACTCCCAGTGTCTGATGTGTTCATTGCCGATCCACCATCAATGCATAGGCTCTTCATTCATATGAAATAAATGCTGAATTGGGATCGATTAAGTAAATTTGAAGATCTTCGCCTTGGTTTTGCAACTTTGTTGAGGAAAAAGGACGTAGCTGTGAGAGAATTGACTTGCGGAGGTCGTCGCGTGAATGAGGCAGTACCAAAATCAGAACAAACTAAACAGCAATCCAGCCGCCCCGTCACGAGACAACATATGCCAAGACGGTACATCCTATCGTAATGTTCTAGCTTTGAGAGTACTTCACTAGCCTTCATGGCTACAGAGTAACAAGATGCATATGCATTCGAGACTAAGCGTTCGAGAGGAAGTGTCTGAGGAGCGACACAGTTATGGGTAGTTCGATGAAATTGCAAATAGGTTTATGGCCATTTGCCTGGCAAGCTATCGCCCTCAACGTATCCATGTACCTGATTTAGCATGAGTGTGCGGTTGGGACTCAATGGCTTGATGCTATACATCCTCAACATGATAAAGGAGTACAAGCGGCTCCCATTCACCTCTGAACATTGTGATACGAGACACAGTCTTGTGACCAAGCTGCTCCTTGTGTTGTGCCAACAAGTATGCAACACCAATTCCATTGGCCGAACCAAAAAGTGCTTCACCCGCTTGGGATTCGACATCGTAGGTTCTACCTGGCCAGCGTCGTAGCTCGGTTCCCTGTTGATAATTGATCAATTGGGAGATCGCTTCAGTGTCTTTGTTAGTGATGAGATAGCGCATAACACATTTGAGTTCCGTAGCCTCTGGAACCTGTGACTTCCACTGCAGATAGGCAAAATCCGACCAATGTGGAACGTCTAGAATCTGACACTCAGGAATCGTCCATGTCTTATCCATGGAGGTCAAAGAGCGGTTGTCGAAGGCAATAATCATACCCCGAGAAGGGACAATGATTTGATGAAACAGGCTGAAAGACTTGTGCGTGTGGCGGACGGGTATGATGTCAGGAGCAGAAAAACCTATCATATCAAGCAGGTTTACTGCAGGGTGAATGAGCGAATTCGAGTGCGGCATAAGCGTGTAGCCCGCTCGTTCAATGCCGTCGATACTGAGAAAGTTTGTTACGGCCGACATCTTCGGCGGTGTGAGCATTTGACCAGCTTCACAATCGTTAGATTGCATCAACCGCTTCAACATATGACCTTTTTGACAAGCTTTGGAGAACATCAACTTCGGTCGTATTGCATCTTCGTTCAATCGCTTGATTACATGCGCGATTCTAGAGTTGTGTGCTTCCTCTTCATATGTGTGCTCATCCATATAATACCCCGAGACCGAGCTGACTATTAGAGGATTGGAGATTGATGACATGTTTGCTAGTAGAATCCGGAAGGTGGGATAATATGTAGAGATTTGTGCTTGTAAGTCCTGCTGAGTGCCAGTGAGAGTAGTGATGGTCGAATTGAATGCTTGGTCGGAGAAGACGTATTTATGGTTATGGAAATATTTGGTCTAGGATAGTTTCAAGAAATACTGTATACATAGCGTAGTCAGTGTCACTTGACGTGTGCTCAAAGCGCATGATCTTGCACTGTGACCCTACGCAGCTACACTTCACTGATCTGCCCTCTTTTTCCAGTACATGGACATACCAATCGTATTGTGACAGTGAAGATCCTCCAAAGGCCCTCCGACCCTGAGTGCAGGTATTACGCCAACAGAGACATGCTGCGACCGCAAAGTCACAACAGGCTGCTAGCCACGCACCTCCGAATCCTTTGGTGGACTACGTAATCGGAGAGGGATCACGAATGAAAAGGCCACGGCCGTTATGAGTAAATCATTCTACATTATTAATACTACCTAATGTGTACACTATTTACTCCTAATACAAAACCAGCCGTTCGTATGGCTGCAGCTGTAACGGATGCTAGCTAGCTTATACTGTGTAAGAGAGGTAGTAGCTGTCATGGTTGATGGTTTAAGAGCTGAAAAATTAACCCAAGTCAAGATGACTGGGTAGATATTCCGGTACATTAAGCATCGCCAGCTGCTCAGTCTCTCAACAGGCGTAATCAGTGATCATGTTCAGTACTGTGGTCATAATACTATTAAGAAACCTACAAATAAGGCAAATTCGGGTGTGAGCAGGTTACATACAAGGGACAAACGGCAGATGCCGGAAGTCATACGAATTTTGCAGCATCCGTTGCAACATCCGATGCACCAAGCTGGACAATACAAAAGGATGGTCAGGGTTGTCACAGTCAGGTACATAGCAAGGAAACCGAAAGGAAATTGCCGTCTGCTGAATCCCAAGGGGTACAGAGATGTGAACAAGAATCGCTCAATCAATCTATCACGTGCCCTTCTTAATTGCTAGACCTATTGCGCAAGCCAAGTAATCTGGTCCAGTTCGCTCATTTCATTGAGGCCTAGATTTTGAAAGAGTTGGAATACTATCCCTTTGAGTAGCAAACGCAACTACGTGCAACAAAAAGTGGTCCTTATCTATACGAGTCTGACAATAGGAATATCAGAGAGAATTCTGAGGATTGGTCATACCATGAAGGATTAGTGTTCTATATCGACCTTGTGGTATTTGTGGATATGCTCACCTGTTATGTGACTTACTGTAAGCAATGGTTAGAATTTATCCGTAAAGCAAAATACATTTAGAGTAATGAGAAGGGAATCCATATACGCGAGAAAAGTACAACTTTATGTCAACATCTACAAAATGTGAATTTGAGTCTTGACTCAAATCTATGCTGTCACAATAACTAAATATTTATGTCGTTGATAAATACATGTAGCAAACCGGCAGTTAGCAAAGCATCAATATTTCCTTGAAGTGATAAATCGTGCGGACTTGGCTATGTTTTATATAAGTAATAATGTAGGATTAGAGCTTCTTCGTACATGATTGCGTGCATAGACGAGTAGTATCACAGTGTCCAACAGTAAATAAATCATGGCCGACTCACTTATAGTAATGCTAGACTGTACGTTTCTGATAATAGCAGGTCACACTGCTGAATTAGGTGATTCCGCATCCGTTGAAAAGTCTACAAATCAGAATGTTTGTGTTTAAAATGCTTCGCAAAGCCAAACTCCAGCATTCTGTGCTCAATGTTTGCAATTGGACATACAATAGGGATGGCTGTATGCAGCGCATCAATAACTTATAACAGCACGTCTTTGCACCAATGCGTATTTATCATGTAGTCTTAATCTGAGCTCAGCGATCCATGATAGGCAACTACTGTGGGACACCTACTAGTTCAACATTCAGTACTAAACGTGCAATGCGAAATTTAGGTATCTTCCGTGAATGTAAGGGTGACCAATTTACAAGGCCCTCAACCATGCATATAAAAGTACATAGCCATATTGTGGACAAATTATAGTTCATATGAGCAGAGCTAGCTAATCGATTTATGTACACCACAAGACACCAATACGCCGTCGCACGAAACTACATTGTATGCAGGTATTGCATCGTCCCTTCGCCCACTTTGAATCACATCCTTTACCAAAGACTCACACAAGTCAAGGCCTAGCAAATGTGGCGACATAGCCATCTGGCCATTTTCCAGTCATACCAAACTCGCCAGTCGCCGCACTACCGATGCTCTTATTGCGTGCATAGATGGCAACAGTCCTTTCCCACTCGACAATACTCATCCTACCGTCCAATACTTCAGGTAGAAGAATAGCTTGCAGTGCTGCAATGTCACAGCTAGCGCCTAGATGAGGCCGAATTTGCGTGTAAGCCTCGCCTGCTAATAGCAACTTGCCACTGTAGAAGGCCGCGTGGTCATTGTCAAAGGAATGAATTGCAGTCAGAAGCGGCAAGGTCGATTTTGCAAAGAGCGATTGCCAGATTGGAGGAACGACGTCTTTCCGCCGCGAGAGTTGTGCAGCCCACGTTTTTGGATGTAGTAGGTCTGCGGACACTGTCATGTTGTGTTGCATGCCATAACGGTCGGTCATATACTCGGAGAATTCAGGGGATGAAACATCACACGCGTCATACCAGCACCATTCGATATAGCGATCTCCGGATACCATGCTACCGTTTGCATCGGGGGCCAGATAGCTGCAATGATCAGCGTATTCATATGCCAGATGGACCAGTACTCACGCCAAAATGTAGCTCCCGTCAAACATGAAGAAGGCCATCTTCCCCGCAAGAGCTCCATCCAGCTCCCTGGGCGCTTCGGACTCTGGAAATCTGCCTCTCCATGCCAGGTAACCAGCGTATTTGGGGCTTGTGTTGGGAAGAAAGCGATTGCGTACAAAGGATCGCGCACCATCTGCAGCAATCACTAGATTTGCGGCGACGCTCTTTACAGGACCGTCCTCAATTCTGTATATCACATTGATGTGATCATCTTTGTCGACCAAATCACAGACTCTTTGATTAATCCAAATCTGGACTGTGCCATAGCCGGGCACATCTTGCTCACAGGCTTCCACAAGTTTCTCGCGCATAGCCGACCAGCTTGAAGTCCATATGTCTTCCGATATTGGCAACTCAATCACTGGGAGACCGTCTCGGGTCAGAATCTCCATGGTCGAATTCTTGACAGCCCAAGAGTCGAAATGCATATCAGGAATGCACATGGTAAGTAGGCGTTGTGCATTTGGCCAAAAGCTCAATCCAGCCCCGATCGCTTGGATCTGCTGCTGGGAACGAGCCTCTAATACGACGACACTGCGTCCAGTAGATCTCAGCACAAGGGCGTGCATCAAACCTGAAATCGATGCTCCGATCTGTAAATTTGGTCAGTATCTTTCTTCGTGCAAGTCTGGTAACATACCACAACGACGTCTGGATTCATTAGCAGCGGCATAATCATTGTCATATGTCGGGGACTTCACGGGAGACGTCGGACTGGCTGGTAAGTAGTAGAGGTCTATGAGCACGGGCCGGTTTCAGGGGAACCTAGAAGAGGTAGGTATCAAACGAAACTGGAAAAAAGAAACAATGGAGCGCCACTGACTCTTTACCATATAACCATTGTTACAAATCCTGCCCACAGACAAGTTTTCTAAGATTGCGCCACGTTAGCAAGCTGAGTCGCAATCCATCTTCTCGGGCGATAGGTTTTATGCGCCAAGTCGTAGCTACGTGGAGCGTTGACCTGTCATCCTTCTCCGCATGTGCATATGCTGTGTAACGATTGTTTGAGTAGATGTATAGAGGCGAGACGAGATGTGCCTCTGGCGTTGTCATAAGAATCTGCGAGTTAGCGCTCGAGTCAGGTACCGGTAATGGTTGACATGAAACTGTACCAATTAAGCCAGTTGCCATTATGATAGGCGAAACTCAAACGTACTCTCACCCATACTCTAATTGCCTTCATTCATGAATACTACTACTTGATAATTATCACGGCATCAAGTGCCAAGTGTGAGCTATTCAAACGCCACAATGCCCCCAGTGTAGGTCATTATCCGTAAAGCCAATCGCAATCTTCAGATTGCACCGATCATGTGAAGAAGTTGACGCTCTCGTTATCAATCCTTCCCACTGACCCGAAGACCGAACATCCCCGCTCAATCAGGATTCCATGTTATTCTGAGCTTTCTTGTCGCAGTCAGCTTATTTGCCTCCATCGCCACCCTCTCTCGGAGACGCAGAACGCGGTGGTCGGTTAGCATTATTCCGATCATAACCGCCAACCCTACTGCGCGTTCGAAGACTGCCTCTGTCTTCTTCACGAGCACGAGCAAGATTTCCACGCTCTCGCGTGTTCTCATATTGCGATCTGTACCCTCCTCCGCGCCCCGTGTACGTGGATCTTGCTGATCGCCACTGAGGTGGTTGGTCTCCGCGTGGTTGTCTCATGCGTGTACGGTCTTCGGCATCCAACTGCTCAACCCTTGGTTTCAGAGCGGCCATCTCCCGCTCCAGCATGCCGAGCCTATCCATTAAATCGCGATTCTCTTTCTGCAGGTCTCGGATCTGTGTCTCGTTCTCGCTAATGGTGCGCAGCTGGGCAGCGATGGTGTTTCTAAAATCCGAGTTGGTCAGTTCAAGATCCGCATTATCAGAAATGAGGCGGTTCTTCTCCTCTAGGCGTTTGGCGTACGAGACAGTAAGCGAGGTAAGAGACGTCGATGTTGTAGTTAAAGTAGTGTGAGCATTGCGAAGCTTGGCCGCGGTAGCGGCCTTAGTTTTTTGCAAGCTCGCATTATCGGCTTCCTGACTGGCAATACGAGCTAGGAGATCTTTGGTGCGATCTTGCAGTTGCTGAATACTCTTACGATGTTTATTCTGAGGTGCACTGGCCATATCGCGTCAGTTCATGCCATGGAGGCTGAAAGAGATCAACTCACCCGCTTGCTTGTTCTCGATTGCTATTTGAATTTTTGTATGCAGCCACGGTCTTTGGGGCAGTATCTGTCGCCTCTGGAGTTTTCGACTCTACAACTTTTGTCTCTTCAACTGTCGTCTCTGTAACTTTAGTCCTGGCAAAGGTCTTCTCTGCATTGCTAACCCGTCGGTTCAAGAGTCGAGGATCCCGCGAAGCATCATATATGTTTGACATTTTCAGTCAGCTGAATTCCTTGCTGCGATACAAGAATCAAGATTGCAAGATACTGTTGCAGGTCGCCGTCGATTTAGTAGTCAGGCTGCGGTAATCCTGGGGTACACATGTAGAAAGTGCAAACGGCGTAGAGTGTCACTTCTCGCGGTCACGCGAACTTGGACCACGCGCAGGGAGGCTGGTATTGCGAATCGCTAGTGATCGCACATTCACCTGCGATTGTGTACATATTGTGCTGACTGGCAGTTTCTGCTGTGGTGTCTGCAAAATCTCAGCAAGGCGCACTCACGCACAAGTCGTCACCACCACCAGCCACCTCACCTGCATAACACCTCCCAAACCTTACTTTCACCTCCTCGATACTGTAAATTAACACTCACAAGTAAGGGAATTCAAGAGCCATTCGATTCCCTTGCTAGCGAAATTCGAGCATGAACGAGCCAAACCCCTCCGGATCGCAGGGTCCAACACCAAGCAATCAGTTGTACGAGCGCAGCAGTACCACATCTCCTGATCTACGTAGGTTTACACCACAGAGCGATCTCAGCGCAGGGGCCAGATACAAAGCTGATCTCGTATAGCCCCGGGCGCTCTTCCCATAGCCGGGCCCCTTGATTCCACTCTCCTGCAAGAGCTTCTCGAGGATATTGAGGGAGAACCATCAGATATCTCCAAGATGTTCTGGATGGGCCCGGGATATCCACAAAGCCACATTGACGAGGCAGAGGAGAAGATGGAGCAAATTTATAAAGAGTGTGCGGACATGGAGGCCGAGATGGAGAAAGAGAAAGCAGAGAGGGAAGAGAGAATGCGGTTGCAGATGGAAGCACAGAATGCGCGCTGGGTACAGGAAGACAGTAGAGCGAACACCGACAAGGTGCTGGAGTCGCTCATGCCTGTACTGAGCGAGGACACGTCGGCAAAGGATGAGCCAGTGTGTGATCTGCAGAGCGTCATGGCGCTGTACGCCGTCTATCTGGAGCTTTCCCGTGAGGATGGCGGCTACCTTGGCTTCGAGGGCTTTTGTATCATGTTTGATATCATATGGTACTAGGGCCACCACTGACAGCGCATCTGCTCTGAGGACCCAGACTGGGACATGCCAACCCTTTGTTCTCGTTGCATACAAGTACGATCAATTCTGTAGGTGATTCTGTGCCTTTGCCCACCTTGCTCAGTGATTTGGCTCGTTGCCTTCTCCCAATGCCGGCTTTTGCAATGTGCAGTTGGCGTTGCAGTTGTTCCCAATCACCACGCATAGCCAAGTGGCCGTAGAAGATCAGGATAATATATCAGTTTGTACTACTTCAGTACTTCTCTCATGTTCTAAGAAATATTTGAAAATCATTTCAGGGTTCTTGTGACTCTCACAGCATACGTGGTGCCGACATATATAGCCTGTCACAGTCTGCGTGTGACACTTGTAACTATGGCAGTTTGGTACAATGTTCGCATGGCAATCTGATATGGGCTCAAGGTCTTTACAAGTCCTACGGTGATACAGATGACTGAAACTAATGAAGACTCTGCTAGCACACTCCCAGAACCAGAGAGATGTATGGCAAACAAGAGTCTCTTCACCGCCTTGATAGTCATATTGCACAAATAAATGCATGATGAGGCTGCAGAGAATATATCAAAAGTATGTATACTTTGAGTTGAGCAATCTCATAAACAGCTATCCTGAATCTTTGCGGAAAGTGAAAGCAGTGTCGCCTCATGATAGAACATTTGCAGCTTACCTCGACACGCAGCCCCCGCCTACGCAATCGCTCTCAAACACTTTGTAAAATCTTCTGGGCCTTTGGTACATTCAGATACAAACAACTGTTATATACTAAAAGATTCCCAAACATCTCATCATATAGCCTGGCACGCCGGTGCTGGACTCTGCCTCAAACCCGTCTCCCCCACCACGACCCTCCTACCCCCTCCGACCCCGCTCGCCCCTTGACTCCCTGGTTTCCCTGCCTTTACCAACGCCCACTGCCTACTTGACCAACTCCTTCTCTCTGAGGAGGTCTGGAAGGTATGTGGGGATTTTTGGATGAGCAAGCAGTACCGGCAGGTTGACCCTCTCAACGGCCGTTTTTTTGGTTCTTTTGTGTTCTTTTTTTTTGTCTTCCTTTGTTTTTTGCATTTGTAGCAGCGCCAGTTTACCAGCCACTGCACTTAAACCCCCTCTTGCAGTCGTCAATCTTTCTACTGCGTGCCTGGCCTCTCCAGCTCTTCTTTCAACTTGGCCAATTCTTCAATGACAACCTGATGGTCATCCCACTGCTTCAACCCACTCACTACACACACTGCCACAAACCCATCCACACCCTTTACGAAGACCGGTACCCCACCCCCATGAATCGCATACTCGGCTGCCCTGTCCCCCAGCCCCGCCCTTGCTTTGAACTTGTTCTCGTCGCCTTCGTACTTGTTATGCAGCTGCCACGTACTCACGCCCCAACGCACGACGCTGTTACGCTTCCTAGCAACCCAGTAGTCGTTGTCGAGGGTTGTGCCATCGGCGGTGACGCTATGGAAGAGGATATGTGGTGGGGTTGAGGGGGTTGTGATTGAAATTACGCAGGGGGAGGGGAAGGTCAGGAGGCGGGTTCTTAGGGCTGTGCCGAGGCGGAAGGCGGTGCTGGCGGTGAAGGATGGGAGTATGTTGGACTTTTCTTGCTGCTGTATTTTTGCGATATCTCGGGGAGCTGGGGAGATGGCGGTGTGGGTTGGAATGGAAAGATCGTCTGTTGCCATGATGGGTGGTAGTGGTGATAGCTCACGTGATTTGAGGTTGTGTGAGGGTTAGGAAGATATCGGTAGTTGAGAGGTAGATGTATTTGAGGAGTAGAATGGAAGGGGGGAAGTAAGGTTTCGTATTTATATAGATCAGGAATTCTTACTTGGCAAGATTCCATTTGCATCTCAATGCCCACTTGTTCGAAAGCTCTTCAGAATTTGTGGTTCTCTTCCTAGCCGCACGCCACGCCGGAACTGTAAAAACTGCCAGGTTGGGGATAACCCCGCGCTAACAACTCAACGTCGTCTCATCAAGCACAGCATACGTTCTGGACCCATGCTTGAGAAGGATGGCTGATCTTGGCCGTTGCGATGCAGACTCCTAGCTGCATGAGCTCAACTGATAGAAGTAATGTATATGTATTTATCGGATTAACAAGGTATCCAATGTTATCTCATTACCACACCTTCCTCCCAATACCTGCACCCAGGACCCCAATCCTGTGACTATGCTCATAATCAAACGCTTTGATCAAACCTACGAGGTGACTAGCTGCCGCAAGCACTACCAGTACATGAAAGATCTGATGACTAGAGCCCCAAATATCGAACTTGCCTGGACTCCACTTCTCCGGTACTCTTGCTGCATAGATACTCGCCCCAAGTAGGTACAAGACGCCCTGCAAGACCACCCAATCAAGCCCAATGCTCTTGCGCATATGCTCGATGCCGTACAGTCGGATACTATGGATAACAGGGAAGATGGCCGACAGACCCATGAGCGCAAACATGAGAGCTCGGAAAGGGCGCAGTGCTGGAGTGCGGAGTTTATGATGAGTGCAGGCGATTGATGTGGCTGCTGCCAGGGTTGTGATCTACCATTGGTCAGCTGGGGTCATCAGGATAAGAAGAAGAATGCTTGCCATTGTCCAGTACGTTCTTTGTAATTCCGGTTCTTCGATGAATCCATAGTATAACACGGGAATGAAGGATCCCCAGATCAATGCCACGATCCCTAGGTAGTCCAGCTTGTTCCCCCAAACAGCCACCTCGTGTGAGTGATTCTGGATGGTGTGATATGTCGCGCTCATTCCTAGACACACGACTGCGCCTGCAAAGTAACATGCAAAGACGTATACATCTTCCCGTGTAGCAGACTCATACCGAGGAGCTAGCACAGAGTACAATATACCAGATGCGAATAGAGCGAGCAGAGCGCCGATGAGATGGGTGTATATGTTGACTGTCTCGTTGTGCAAGTATGAGAGTGAGGAGAAGGACTTGTAGAAAGAGGATGATTGGGGGCGGTAGCCGGAGTGAATGTAGTGATTATCTTGCTGCCAGGGCGCAAGTTCGTCCCAAAGGAGAGTCAGCTTTTCTTCGACCTTCTTCTCAAGAGTTTGTGCTTCTTTCGTGACGTCTGAGAGGGCCTGTTTGGCCGAGTCAACAGCTGTCGACATTGGCAGGATGTAGAATGATGTGATGCAGCAAATTCAGAATATTAGAAGTGAAAGGCAAAACTCAAGGCCTTAAGCCTTGCGTTGCAATTATAAAGCCCGCGTATTACGGTGTGAAGAGGGTGGAATTCGACATGTCATGACGGCTACCGGTAAGTTACGGTAGGAAATCTCCGGTGACATTTCGGACCCTAGCTACCTAAACCATATATGGCGCGAGTTGCGAGGTCAATGTCGTTGAGGCAGCTGCAAGTGGCTATGACGCTCAATCAGCTTATAACGAACTGCTAATCGTACCGGTAGTCCTACGACGGCGAGGAATGGCGAGTGCAGTCGTGATGACATGAAAACCATAAGCTGGGTGGTTGTTCCCCTCCATGGCCGAATCATCTCCCCGCATCCCACCATCCCACCATCCCACCTTTCCATTACTCACACACAACTACCTCACTGTTATCAACACGCCATTCATGCCTCACGCCTGCCCAATGTGATGCGACATCATGATAGCCCTATACGAAATTACCTGACGCGCTACTACTGTGTCCACCACCTTCATCCTCCCTTTCTCCTCCCACGTCCGACCAAAAGCGCAAGATGAAGTCCTCTGACCCCATCCGCCCCAGCAGCCGTCGCGGCGCATCAGGCGCATGGAACCGCCTTAAGCCTGTTCGCGAAGATCTACTGGAGACATATGGCCTACCTTCCAAGGGCGAGACGCGGTACAAATCCTCTTGCCCGTATTGCCGTACTCAACTGTTGACAAAAGTCGCAGGTTAAACGATTTCAAGACTCAAGAAACATACTTCAACCGCATCATCGAGCGCTACATGAAACTCTGTGCACTCAACCGCGAAGAACTAAACATCCTCTTCGCCTCCATAAGCAGCACACACAGCGCCAGCACCCCTTCCACCACCATACCCTCCAACCTAACCGCCTCATTCTCCTCCCTCGCCCTCTCCAAACATGCCCCCAAACCTCCTCCTCCCCCACCTTCCACACCGCCCAGCACCACCATCCCACCCAACGCCCTCACCCCCTCCATAAACGAACTCTCCACCGTCCTCTCCTCCCTCCGCAAACTCCGCGAAGCAATCACCGCCTCCAACCGCTGCGACGCCTTCGCCCTGCGCGCCTACTTCTTCGCCATACACGTCAGCATCCTCTGTGCAGACTGGTCCTCGTATCTGCCCGCGCTGCACGCCCTCCTTTCGAAACTACACCCTAGGAATCCACTCCCCCCACACGACCTCCGCGAATACGTCGGTCTGCTGATCCTCGATCAGTGCTGTCGACAGTCTGATTACGCAGGTGCCCGCGCCACCAAGTTGTTCTATGGGTACAGGGATTGGAGGGTCGAGGGTGTCATGCATGCGCTGGTGCAGGATAATTGGACGCAGTTTTGGCGCCTGAAGAGGGGCGTGGATGGCTATCAGCGCGCGGTTATGGGGTGGGCGGAGAAAGGGGTGAGGGTCCATGTGTTGAAGTGTGTGGGGAGGGGCTATTTGAGTGTGGACAGGGCATGGTTGGAGAGCGTTACCGAGAGGGCGTGGGAGGAATTGGTGCAGGATGGTGTGGGGTGGGAGTTGGTTGGGGACAAGGTCATCATCAGAAAGCCCAAGGGGAGCTGAAGATGTTGGACTACGGGTGTTGAATTTCTAGTTGGTTGTGAAGAAGAGGGGAATAGCTGCAAGTGAGGTACGATTTGATACATGGTTTTTTTTGTAGTCGAGGAGCGAAGCTGATGCGTGGCGCAGTTTCTAGATGCATCACAGTTGACCAAAAGCTGGTCGCAATGGCAAAGCAGACACACATGAAACGCGCTGGACAAGCTTGAATAGGGTATCATTACACCTCCCATCCCATCTACTCATCATCCTCCATCTCCTCGTCCTCACCCTCTCCTGCATCGGCCTCTTCCTGCCAAACATCATCCTCCATATCATAGTCCTCAAAATCCGCCATCATCTCCGCCATATCCTCCTCATCCTCGTCGCCTTCTTCGCCCTCTTCGCCCTCTTCAGCTCCACTCTTACCGCCTCTTTCCTTGCGTTTCCTCTCAATATTCTCCTTTTGAATGCGTCGTCGCTCCTCCTTCTCCTTCTTGCGCTGTGCCCACTTCTTCTCGAGGTCCTGCACTTCAGCTTTGGATTTGGTGATGAATTCATGCCACATGATGCGCCCGCCGCAGACGTCCTCTTCGACTTTGGTCAGCCTCAGTTTCATGCGTGGGCCCAATTCCACGAGTTTGACGGCACGCTTCTCGACACGAGGTTTGGTGCCACGCGCACGGGCGTAGGATGCTTCGTCGCCGGCTTTCAATTTTTCCTTTTCCTTTCTCGACAGCACTTTTTGTCGCACGGGAGCAGCGACTTCGACTTCAGCGTCTGTGTCGGCTTCGGTGTCGGAAGCAGAGGTGTAGCCTGCGGCAGAGGGGTCGAGCATATAGTCTGCGACGTCTTGGAGGCCACCAAGGTTGGGCAGTGCGCGCTTCTTCTTCTCTCTGCTGCTGATGAGCTTCTCTGCTGCGTATAGACGTCGAATGGCTTTGGGCACCCCGGTGATCTTTGTGGTGATGGCATAGTGGCGGAGACTGATTGTACATGTGCCATTTTCTTCGCTCGGAGGCTCGCGATTGAGTAATAGGACACGTTTGATGGTGTGCAGGGGTGTGGTATGTGGTTGGATAGGAGGGAAGAGGCCTTGGAACATGTCTGTGACCAACTTTTCGAGGTGTTTTGGTGGCGCCTTATCGCCTAGGCGCTCTCGCTCGGTATCGCTGATCAGGAAGTTGTTCATGACGAGTAGCGGGGCCACCATGAAGTCGGAAGCTGCGCCTGCGCGTGGGTGTCGCATCGACTTGAGGATGTCTTTGCAGAGGGAGTAGTTTTCGACGCGGAAGTGGAGGGTCGGGCCACGAGGCGTACGCGCAAGACGCAGGTTTGTGTTGCCAGACTCGGAGCGGGAGAAGAGGAGGAGATGGGATACACCTAGGGGACCGCACATTGTGGTGTAGTCTTTGAGTTTGTTCGCTCGCCGTTCCTGTGACGAAGCTTGTCAGCATGACACAGCTGGGAATGAGGAATAAAATCCATATTACCTTCAATCGCACAGCAGTATCTGGCTCCATGACATGTCTCACATCCTGCACCAATTGACTGACACTGCTACCAACCTCTTGCGCGCCAATGCGAATGACCATGCTCTTGGGTTGCCCATTTTGCGGTTTCTTAGACTTCTCCTTGTCTATGAGCGACTGTTTTTTTCTTTGGCTGCTGCCTCGGGCCATTTCAGCGGTTGATTCTGACTGTAGTTGGTGTGAAAGTTCAAGGTCGATATGTCGGGAGATGGAGTTCCAGGTCGTAACTTTTTTCGAACTCTTGGCGCGCGTCTTATCTTATCGCCGGGCGACAAAATGTTCTGGCCCGAACATGCTTCAACGAACTTAACATTCAGCAGTCATGTCGAGCTTCAAGAAAAGAAAGCTGGACGGCAACACGGCACGGACAGATGCTGGCCAATTGAATGGCCGGTCAAACAAGAGCCAGAAATTGAGCCAGAAGAAGAGTGCTCCAAAACGTGCGCCCGAGCCAGAGCCAGAGTCGAGCGATAAGGAAGAGGAGGAAGACGATGAAGACGTCGAAGACGTCGAAGACGAGGGCCATGCAACGGATGCTGGGCCCATAGAGACGACTACAGCACAAGCAGATGTTGCCAAAAAGACCTTTGCCGACCTCGGTGTCCGAGAAGAACTGTGCGACGCCTGCGAGAACCTCAAATTCACAACACCTACACCCATCCAAACGCAGGCCATTCCTCTGGCGCTCGAAGGACGCGATGTGATTGGGCTTGCAGAAACAGGATCTGGAAAAACAGCAGCATTCGTCCTGCCTATCCTACAGGCGCTGCTGGACAAGCCACAGGCACTCTTTGGCTTGATTCTTGCGCCCACGCGAGAACTGGCTTACCAGATTGCACAGCAAGTGGACGCACTGGGCAGCATAATCAACGTCAAGTGTGCGACGCTTGTTGGAGGCATGGACATGGTTCCCCAGGCTATTGCGTTGTCAAAGAGACCACATATCGTTGTGGCGACGCCAGGTACTTTGTCGAAACTGTCTAGTGGTCGACATCATACTAACAACGCTAGGTCGGCTGCTCGATCACCTCGAAAACACAAAAGGCTTTTCCTTGAAGCACCTGAAATACATGGTCCTCGATGAAGCTGATCGTCTTCTCGATCTCGATTTCGGACCCGTTCTCGACAAGATCCTACGCGTGCTCCCCAGAGATGGGCGCCACACCTACCTCTTCTCTGCAACCATGTCATCCAAGGTTGAGAGTCTGCAACGCGCCGCCCTGCAGAACCCAGTTCGCGTATCCATTTCCAGCTCCTCACATCAAGTCGTGTCCACGCTCCTACAACGCTACCTCTTCATCCCACACAAGCATAAGGATCTCTACCTCATCCATCTTCTTACTGACAACATCGGTCACCCTACCATTATCTTCACCCGCACAGTGAACGAAACAGAGCGAATCGCCATTCTCCTCCGCGCTCTTGGCTTTGGTGCCATTCCGCTGCATGGTCAACTGTCACAATCTGCACGTCTAGGTGCACTCAACAAATTCAAAACTAAATCTCGTGACATTCTCGTTGCCACCGATGTCGCCTCTCGAGGTCTCGACATCCCTGCTGTCGACCTCGTCGTTAACCTCGATCTCCCAAGTGACTCGCAAACCTATGTGCACCGTGTGGGTCGAACAGCCCGAGCTGGCAAGTCAGGAAAGGCATTCTCCTTCGTCACGCAGTATGATGTAGAGATTTGGCTGCGAATTGAGCATGCGCTGGGAAAGAAGATTGAGGAAGAGGTGGTGGACAAGGATGAGGCGCTTCAGTACATGGAAAGTGTCAGTGAAGCACAGAGAGTGGCCATCAGGGAGATGAAGGATATTCATGAGAAGAGGGGCAAAGCTGGTCGAGGCGGAAGGGGGGGCGCAAGAGGTGGAGGCAGGGGTGGGAGGAGAGGGCGCGACCAGATGGATCGGGAGGAGGGCTGAAGTAATAAGAGAGGGCACATGGATAGGTCCAGCCAGTCATCATCACTGGGTGCTTTCGATGGATTTCTTTCTTGCGCATTTGGAGTGCAGTCTGCTCTGTACTACGTATAATCTTCGGTTAAAAGTCTTGATGCAAAACAAGGTTTCTTCTTGCTGGCGGCCACGCTCCCGATACTGAACATTAGGAACGGATGACACGTGGGCCTCGAGCATTTTCTGTGCAAGCTACGATATACTCTCTCTCTATCTCGCCCGCTCTCCCGCTCTCCCGCTCTCTCCTCTCTGCCTCAGGCGTACTTTCACTCTACTCTCCATCCCAATGCGAACGAGAGTTCATGCTTGTTCCCGATTTAGCGGCTAAGCGAAGGGGTGCGCACAGACGTGACATGACGGCATCGATGCAACATCCCGATTGCGGACCAGCCACCGGATATTTGTGGGGAAGGGCGGCCAATCAGACACGGGATCACCATGTCTCGCAGCTACCGCATCTGGAGCTTACGTCCCGGCACGCAACCTTCCTGCTTTCACTCAACCTCACCCTCAACCTCACCTCACCTCACGTCGCGTCCAGTCTATCTCTTTACCTTCATCGTACACGCCCACCCCCATTTCCCACTCTGTATCCCCTACTCACTTAAATACATTTCCCACATCCTTATTAACATCAATTGCATATCGACCCACTTTTGCGACGCGCACCAGCATCTGTCGCATCACGTCATCCTGTCGCAACTGCGCTTCTCGAGTACCACACATCTACCATGACTGAATCCGAGATCCAAAAGGGAGACCAAGGTAAGCAATCTTGTCTCTTTTCTATGCGACAGCTGCTTCCCTTTCCATTTGCGTCTAGCGAGCGCATAGTTTGCGCATTGCGCCAACGAACCCGCAGCAAGCGCGCATGTCCGTCTGCTCGCCCAGCTTTACCACCATCTCCAATTGCCTTGCATCCATATCTTAAACATGTACTGACGCGTTGAAACCCAGTCTCATGGAACTGGGGCTCAGGAAACCCTGGTGGCAAGGTCGCCGAGGTCAAGGAACAAGGCGAGATTGCTATCGAGTCTAATCGCGGCAACACCATTAAGAAGAACGCTGAGCCTGAGAACCCGGCTGTTCATATTGAGCGGTCGGGAAACGATGTAGTGAAGCGCGCCTCTGAGCTCAACATTGAGAAGAAGGCTGACGGCGCCAACGGCCAGTCCAATGGCGATGAGAAGGAAGAGGAGAAGGAAGACAAGAAGGAAGAACTCGAGAAGGTGGAAGACAAAAAGGAAGAGTCTGAGAAGAAGGATGAGAAGCCGGCTGATCCCAAGTCCAAGGATGAGGAGATGAAGGATGCCCCAGCTACCGAGAAGGAGGATGTGAAGACAAATGGCGAGTCCAAGGATGAGGCCAAGGATGAGTCTAAGACTGAATCGAAAGATGAACCCAAGGACAACGCCAAGGAAGTCAAAGACGATGCCAAAGACGAGGGTTCTACCGATGAATCCGCGACAAGGGCCGACGAGGCAGAAGACAGCGCAAAGACCGGCTCAAAGCGCAAAGCCGAAGACAGCCCCGCGAAAGAAACCAACGGCGATTCTAAAAAGGCCAAAACCGACGACGCCGAAACCGAGGAAAAGCCTAGGCCCAAGAAAGTAGGTCGCCCACCAAAGGACAAGAAGGAGCCTGCGAAGAAGAGGGAGCCAAAGAAAGCTGCTACTGCTGATGGGCAGCCAAGACGCAGTGGCAGGAACAGGTCGTAGAGAATGATTACGCGCAATTTGAAGCCTCAACGACAGTCATGACATCTCTCTCCTTATCCACGTGGCTGAATCACTGCAATGCCCACTCGACGCAGTGTCATCTGTATTATCAATTGTGGCGCAGATATGGACCGTAGGGAAACCAGGTATGGGATGGTATCGGCTGGTATGCTACATCAATCCATGGGTACTGAAACGAACAATCGCCGCACTCATGATTATGAACGCGTCTTCATTCGTCTTCAGTAGCCACTTTGGTATCTTCGCCATCCATCCACCTTTTATGCCTTTTCATGTATTGGATCGTTTTTTTGAACCTTGGTCTAGCTGCTGCTGTTTAGTACCGCAACTGCAACCGCAACTGCTGCTTACCTATCATTAGGTGTTTTCGTACATGCCTTGGTTTTTTACTTGCTTCTGTTAGGAAAAGCGTGTGTTTTGTGTAGTCTTAGTGATTACTCAGATGATTGAAATAAGTTTTTGTTGTAGATGCGATTTGCGAGTGTGAGTGTGAATGAATCGTTGATGTTGATCATATGTGTTACAATGCATTATAGGAAGCCTGTGAGTGAGTTGCGAGATTGAGGCTTGTGGTGTACGGAAGACTTGGCGGGGTAAGTGTGGTATGGGTTTACCTGCGCGTCTGGCCTTTGGTATTCCTAAGCTCTCTTTTATGCTTTCATCTTCTCTTACATACGTCTGTCTTCTACTCACTGTTTGTTCCCTGATGACATTGGCAGGCTATTCGGGAAACGCGACTTTTCGGAGCGGGGGTAAAAATTTCTTCCAACGGCATGTAGTCACGGAACGTGCATACTAATCACCCATTCCTTTTAAGACTGGTATTACTGTGTTGACATAAGTCATCTATCCCTCCTATTTGGGCATGAAACAACTGCTGCTCTTTTTTAGATTTTCATCTTCACGACCCACCGCCTTCCCAGACATGCCCATCGACTGAACAAGAAACTCACTAAACTAAGCCCAAGAACTGCGCAAAAGAACGCAACCATAGGCTTCGGTCCAACGGTCTCAACCAGCTCACCGCTAACGGGAATGCATACGAGTGATGCCAGGCTGGCAACGAAATACATCGACCCATAGTACCTCCCAAATTCATCTGCACGACATAATTGCCCCAGACAGGCGGGAATCAGCGCCATCCAGGATCCAGTACCAAAGCCAAATAAGGCAGCGAATGCGTATAGGGCGGCTAGCGACGTCGTACCTAGGGGTAACCATAGAGCCAGCATCCAGACAAGTGTAAAGACAATCATGATTAGCAACGTGTTGAACCGCCCAATCTTGTCAGCGGCATATCCGGGGAGCAGGCGACCCAGACATGAGACACCGTTGAGAACTGAAATGAGGTAGAAGCCCGTGTCTGGAGGGAAGTTTTTGCTCAGTGTGGCATATGTGGGGAGAATGCCCAAGCCGCCAAAGAGAACAATCTCGAAGCCAAACACACACATGGTGAAGAGGCTGAGTCGAAGGTCGCCATAAATAGATAGCGAGATGATTGCCTTTTTCGCAGCTGCCGCAGGCGGGATACGTGCTTTGATCAAAACATTGCCAACGATGAAGCAAAACAAGAAGACAAACCCCAAGATGCGAAGAGACCAGGCATAGCCGTACTCTGGAAGCGTGGTCCGCAGCATAAGAGGGATCACCAACCCTCCACACGAAGACCCCGTCATCGCAATTCCCTGCGTTAACCCCCTTCTCTCTTTGAACCAATGTGCCACCGCCGCCAAACTCGTCGTCGTCAACATGGCTCCCCCAATCCCCCCAAGCACCCCACAGCACAACACCATCTGCCAGAACGCCGTACACTCGGCCAGCAAAAAGATCATGAGTAAGAAGGCCAGGCTCCCTGTACACGCAATCCATCTCGGCCCATACCGATCGAATAAAGGCCCCACCCAGATCCCAAGCGCAAGCGACACGTACACAAACACAGAGGGAATCCAGCCAATGTCCCGCGCACTCATGTAAGACAGCTGATGCCGACCCCAGTAGTCCTGTAGCGTCCCAATCGACACCATGAAGCCGAACGAGGGGAACAGCAAAAGCCAGGCCGACGCCACGACGAGCCAGGCGCGCAGCCCGCCTTCAGGAAAATCGTCTTCTGCATCCACAATCGGGACCCCAGACTCCTCGTCGGAATCCGAGGCCGTGCGTCCTGTGCACTGTGACTGTGCGTCTCCGGGCGATGGGATTTCGACCTCGTGGTAGCTGGGGAGTTTGGCTTCGCTCGCTGGTGTGGAACGGCCTGTGATTCTGGAGAAGGTGCGCTGGAGTCCTTGCCATATTTCTTCGGGTTGTGGGTGGGATTTGGGGTCGTGTGTGGGTTGCTTGTCTGGAAGTAGGACGGCTGGGTTGGCTGCTGGATCCATGATCCGCGAAACCGAAATCGGTTTCTGGGAGAATCTTCAGGGGTGAACTTGTATATACGGTACCGGTACGGTATTCGGTAGCAAAGTATGATCTCAATATCGCGTCCTCGATCGCACTCTTCAAACTTTCCACCCGCCACCCATCCATCCCTTATACCTACCTCTCTCCTCGCATCCAAACCCCCCTTTCGACATCGCGCCCAACACCGCAGACATCCACGCCCCAACACTCCATCCATCCCATCCTACCCCTTCCCAAACAAGCGTAAACTAATCCCCCGGCTACGGTCCGGACCGGTCTCGCTGCCCGCAGATCAACCGCTGCCCCGCTTCGGGAGCTTGTGCAGTGCATCCGCGCCTCGAGCAACATTCACCCCTTCTTACTGGCAGCCGGCAGATGCTTAAATCCGATGTGCATGGTGGGATTGTGGGCATTTTAGGTAAGAAATGCTTTTGGAGAATCGGTGTTGACGTGGACGGGCAGGGTTTGTGGTGCGTGTGAGGTTATGCTAGGATGCGGTGTGATTGGGCGGTGGGGCAAGATGGGAGATGCATTTCCCAATGTAGACTTGGGGTCCCGAGTGTTGAGTTCTGCAGAGTATGGAGGCATGGAACACGTCGATGTTTAGTTGGAGTGTTTTAGTAATTGATATAGTTGGAGATTCTGGGTCCTTCGATTTTGGTGAATCAATATACGGATGGAGGAAGTCAATACGTCTAGCGGTAGATAAAAAGCACGGGAGTTTCGCTATGATATGTCCAAGCTCGTGAGTGAACTGACAACTTAATAAAGCTTACAATATAGAAGTAGTGCAAAATACTAAGGGATAAAGAGAAAAATATGTACATAAATACCATGTCGTCGCCTCCAAAGTCTGCTCATATCATTTCCACACGAGCATGTCATACCCAAGCCACTTAAAAGGCTATCAGTCCCACCCACCTTGCCAGACACCAGAGCTCATCTCGTACCCTATCGATATTCTGAAACTTTTGGCCATGCCTTTGCTTCGATAGCTTTTCGCCAAACAATCCCAAGATCAATATACAAGGAATACTAGTGTGGAAGTGGGCGCTTATAGGGCATACAAGTCAGGGAAGACGCATGATACTCATCCCTATACTCTGACAGCTTTTCCAGTCCAACAACATTCTTCGTGATGCTCGTAAGTTTCGACACACAAAGAGCCCAGCCACCAGGAGCAGCCGAAATACCCTTTGGAAATTGTTTCAAAGGAGGGGCATTCAAGCCTCCTTTGTGCGTGTGAAGGAGCAATGGAAACTGCGTGCCAACAAGGTATTTATACACGCGGCGATGATCATGCAAGTGCGAGACATGTCTTTTTTGATGAGCATAGAGTAGCATGTGTGCTGGTTTTGAAGGATATATGGGATCAGAGATATGGCTAAAATGGATCTTCTTTGAGCACGCCACAATCATACCAGATCCCCAACCCAACTTACACGCAAAGAGAATGACACACCCTCCCATCAAGACACACCATCTACAGCGTGAGCCAGAAGGTAGGAGACAACAGTAAACACATCAGCCAGAACACCAAAAAAACAACATATTACGGTTAACAACTCAAGCACATCCGAATCAAACCTAGCCATATGAGATTCAATTCGCGCTTCAAAGCTTCACAGCAAAAATTTCATATATACGCGCACATCTCACTCGCCAAGAAATAGTTCGCCTGTGATAGATCAAAAAATCCGATTGGTATCTTTACAACATTACAACAGCCTGCATCCTCCCATCTTTACAATAACAACAGCCTGCATCCTCCCATCTTTACAATAACAACAACAACATCATCATCATATGCTCAAACAGCTCCACCACAGCTAATTACACGGCTGATAAGCCTTTGAAAAAACTCCACATCGCATGTGCTCCGACTGGGTATCAAAGCGTTGGACTCGAGCTCCACATCTAGCCAGCCTGGTACAAGCCCAGGGCGACGACATGGGGGTTAATCATGCTGAGGTTGAACGGGGTGAGGAAGGGATTGTCATCGGTGAGCGCAATGAACATGGTGTCATTGACAGTTGGGTCACCCTGGTAGACTTCGCCGGCTGGCTGGTATGTGTATCCAGTGTTGTTTCCAGTAATCTCCAGAGGAGTGTAGGTCAGATTGAGCTGCGCAACCCAGGCCACGTACTTGGGCGCACCGGCGGTGGTGGCGGTGATGTAGCTGTTGTTGGGGCCGACGGCCTTGCCAGGCTCTTCCCAGGTCAGGTTGAGGAGACGGCCGGGGAAGGAGAGGGGCTCAGAGCGGTTGCGGGCGATGCCTGGGGCGCACGAATAGCCTGGGTGTTCGGTGGCGTCGACGTTGACACACGATTCGTCCTCGGGGATGGTGGAGTCAGAAGGGTCAGCGATGCGCTTTCCGGCTACCTCGCCAGCAGCGGTGTCGTTGGGAGAGAAGCGGTTGGGGTTGGGCTGATTCTCGATCATGAGAGCGGGGAAATTCTGCCATGCGAGACGGGTGGTGTTCTCTGGGCATGAGCTGATGTATGGCGCGAGGTATGTCCATGACCAGGATTGGGGGATACCAGTCTCAAACCACACGGGCTGGGGCGGAAGACCAAGCATCTGGCGGAAAGAAATCTGCTGGCGAGTCTCGGTGGCGATGGACAGAGAGAGCAGGTTGGCGACCTCGCGGGAGTCGAGGTGGGCAAGAAAACCCCACACACCAGACTCACCCCAGCGAGTAACCTTCATGTTAAAGTCGATGAACTCGCGGACGGTGCGGAACGGGTAGTTGTAGGTGCACTGAGGAGGAGCAGCCTCCCCGAGCATATTGCTGAGAAGAGTGGCATGGCCAGTCTCCTGAATGGCCATGAAGGCAATGTAGGCGCGATCCTCCGCAGTCAGGCCAGCGTCAAGAAAATCTTGGTCAGAGAAGACAGCGAGACCGTTGTTGAACAGGTCAAGCTCGATCCACTCCTGGTAAAGACCAAGAGCGATTGATTCAAAGTCAAAGTCGCTGTTGACCATGTAGCGAGGCTCTGTTCCATTCGTACCGAGACCTCCAGCTGGCATGTAGGGAATAGGCATGGGATGCTGTGGCTTGCCATCGGCGTTGTAGTAAGTGTGAGTTGGATTTGGTGGGATCGGAGCAATGGCAGTGCCAAGTGTGGTAGGCGCCTTTTCAGCTCCAGTCGTCGTTGGGGTACCCGAGTAGGGACCATGGCTGGTTGGGCCATCGACATCTGAGCTCCTCCGTGGAGGTGCTACCATTGCTGGTGTTTGCACGGCCTGAAAAAAAAAAGGTCAGATTTGCCTCGTGGAACGGGCAATTGATAGAACTTACTCCTGGAATCTGAGAATCAGGTCCGAAGACAGTGGCGGGAGTCTCAGCCGGGTCAAAGGTAACCGTGAAGCTGGCATCTGCACCAGAGTAGCCCGCGACCTGGGGCTTGGGGGCAGCCGCAGCCAACGCTGCAAACAAAGCCGACGCAGCAACAGTCTTGGTAAACATGTTGAAAGTTGGGAGAGGCTGTTGGTGTCGAGATGATGGAGGAGCAACTGGACGCCTGCAACAGCTATATACTCCCAAGATTTGCGCTTGAGCTAACCGTGACCGCATCAAACATCACCCATATTGTCGTCAACGCGTGGATGACAAGCATGGGAAATGCTCAAGGCGGTTAGAGGCCATGATTTCATGACTGACCGAAGCGGCCGTGGTACTGCAGACATGGCAAAGTTTCCATGACATGGGCATTTGTCGATAACATCGGAATCTCCGCAACCAAGCGAATGGGAGAGGACTCGGCAAAGGACCATGCTGGGGCTCGAACGCGTTGGTGCAACAAGGAAGGGAAACATTGACGGGCTTGACGGGATCTTGGGAGGATTCAAACGTGACGACGTGATGACATGGAGATGCACTAGTCCGCGTGGAGCCGCTAGTGCAATTGTGATTGTCGGCTTTCATCCTCGTCCCCATCCCATCCCATCCCATCCCATCCCCAGCAAGAAAAGGGTGACAATAACATCGAGCTTGCCGCGAATCTGCTCGCCGAGAATTTCATTCATTACCGAGTAGAGTGGTAATTCAAAGTAGATCTCGGGTAACTGCGTCCGCGGAGTATCCAGACCTATCTCGCTTCGCCAACTTCAATCCTCTTGCCGATAGGCATTGACTTCCATGCTTCTGGCAAGTCTGCAGGTACCAAATGCACAACCACTCCCACAATTGCCATAATTGCCTGGCCAAACGGGCAACAAAAAGCCATCCTGGTCGGGCCAAGCTGAATTTGTGATCATCGCGTGTGAATAGAGTACTGTTGCCTCTTCTTCGACATGAATGTTCTCCCATCCGGATAAGAGACCCGAGATCTTACCTAAGCATACAGATATGATGTAAGAGTTGCGCAACGACCGCTGCGTCCGTGGGGCGAACAGAAATCTAATCAGATGAGAACGACGTGTTTTGCGATCGACACAATGGCTCTGCATACAATAGCAAGGTGCAAGGATGGGAAGATCGTGCATGAGAGCAACTCATGATTCGTACTTGGATTCAAATTACTTTGCTCGCGACATGGGGCCCCAGTTTTCGCGTGGTGCAAGCTGGTATCGCACATATTTGCCTCTGTCGTGATCTTTGCCTAGCTTCTCATCAAAGTTGACCGCATACTTGACCTCGAGGTAAGCTGGCGAATCTTTGCCAACACCCGGTGCAGATGCCGCGGTATCCTCTGCACCATTTCCATTTTGCACATCTGACATGGGTTCTTCTGCTGGCACTTCAGCTGTGGCTTGGGCATTTCGTATTCTGGTGTGGCCAGTTGCGCTCGCTTTCGACAGAATAGCGTGGCCGGCAGTATTCGCATTCAGTGCCTTTTTGAGGGGCGCGCGCTGTCTGGCCCATTCAAGCATAATGTGCCAAATGTCTGTCCACGAAGCGTCTGTTTTGATCGAGCCTGGCTTGCAATGGCTCATCGTCACCCTGAATCCAGCATGTCGTAATGCGCCGCGAAGGGCAGCTACAGGAGGCGCTGAAACGTGAATAATTTTTGCGACAGAGCCCGGTACGATGAAGAAGGGATGGTGCTCGATTTCTGCTGGGTCCATTTTAGGGATGATAGGATCGAGAACCTCCGTCTTCTGCGCTCCATTCGACTTTTGCGTTTTAGAACCATAGGTGATCTCCTCCATGGCAGTATGTAGCATGCCTTGTATGCGGTCCATAGTCGGATATGTCTCGCGATCAACCTCGTTCAGTTGAGCTAGCACCCTTTCGATAAAGCCAACATTATGCAACGGCCCGCCGTACATGGGGCCCGACAGGTGGGTCTTGAAGCCGCAGTGCTGGCAGTGTTGGTCTGCAGTTGGCGCTTGCGCAAAGCCGTGCTTGTATATTGCGGCGCCCTTTTTATTCTCCATTGGCTTGTTGCGTGCGAGGTATTGTGTTGTCCAAGCACCGCATCCGCTCTCGCAGTGGTATACAATCATCGTCTTACCAGCCAGTAACTTCACATCGATTGGAGCCTTTCTCACTCTGACAAATACCCGTGCGTAATAGTCAATGGACAATGAGAGCAGCGGTTCAATGGCCATGCCATATCGTGCTGCGGAAGATGCAATCGCGTGCAGTATCAGTCGCAGTCCTCCCTCGTGGCATGGCTCGCCTTTTAACGGTAACCCCCCATATTGCGAGTACGTCTTCTCCAGGTAGCCATGAGATGCGAAGATGGCCGAGTCGGTGCAAGTCACGAGCAGCATACCTTCGTCGTTGATAGCTTGGATGGCCGCGTCTATAAATGGAGCCGCTGTGCCATATGGGTCGAGATCAATCGCATCGTACCCTTTCTTGTCGCAGAAGCTGTACATGTACGCTATCGCGTTGCCCGTGTTTGCTGTGATCTTGTCCTCGAGCTTGTTGTGTTTGATATTGAGTTTGATCGACTCGACAGCCTTCGGTGACATGTCGTTTGACGTGATGGCCGTCGCAAAGGGAATCTCTTTGGCATAACGAATTGCGCGCAAGCCAGTCGCAGATAGTGCGTCGAGAATTTTGAACGGGGGTACCCAAGGCACGCGCTCTTCATTCGTTCCGTTTGTCTGCTCCCCATTCGCTTCCCTAACCTCCCCATTCTCCACATTCTCACTCTCGCCATTCTCTGCCACCCTTTGCCTTTTCGCAGGCACTGCACCTGCATCAGCCGCGTCGTCCGCCCGCTTTCTCTTGTTGGACGTACCCTCCTCTACTTGCGGCGTGCTAGGCGTACTCGCTCTCTCCCCTGTAACGCGCTCTTTTTCCATTCTCGTTTTTCTTCGTTCTGCTTTGGCCTTCCATGCCTCGTGCCTCTGTATCCGCTGCTGTATCAGGTCCTGACCAAACGTCTTGATGGCAAGTACGCTCAGATCGCGGTTGAACTGCTGAATGGGATTATAAAACACTTGCTGCCGCTGTGTGTCTTCTCTGGACAGCTTTTTGGGGTCCGTCTGTGTGGGAATGTCCTGGGGTACGAGGATATGCGCAAGACCTTCCTTGATGGTGGTGTAGGTCTTGCTATCATGGCTGACGAGTTGGCCGGCTGCTGGTGTGGCGTCGATGGTCTTGGACCCCGCATCGGGCATGGGGGCGCCTGTAGAGGCCATTGCAGGTGAAGTGTGGAATGCGCAAAGGAAGCTGCTACCAACTGCGCATGGTAACTGCAGACGAATCTGAGGTTGCAAAGCAGATATGTGGCGCCGAACGAACTGTAAGGTAGCCAGTGTTGCTGCGAGTTTGTTGTGGAAGCCTGTGCCGAGGTGGAGGAGGTGATCGAGATGTTTGTCTCGGAAGAAAAAAAGTTGCCCTGTCGGTCGCGTCAAGCTTCCAGGATTTGGACGGAGTTGAAGCTTATTTTTGGCGTCCTAGCCTCAAGACAACTACCATTTCATGTCCACTCCCCCATTGACTTCTCTTTCACAAAACAAATTTCATAAGATGGCTGCTTGACCGAAACACCGTTGGATATATACATTGGCTCTCCCGCTCTGGCGTTGGCTAATGAAAACATGTTTCAGTCACATGATTCATATCGCCAACAAGTGCATGCCTGAACTCAGCCCAGAGACGCGTGTGCCATCCTCACACGACGCGGGACAAGGCCCAAGTACTCTTTCTTCACTTCTCGTCATTCTCTCTCGCCGACTGTCTTTGTATCCCCCTTTGTCGCATTTCTCCTCTGCTGCACCAAGTACTATCAACTATCCCCGTTGCCGTCGCCGTCACATCCCAACGCGCGCCATCATGGGTCGAAACACCACCCCCATCCCACCATATCGGGACAACCCAGATGCAGTTCCCCTCCACACAACACCAAACAACTACACCTACCCAGACACCCCCGATCTTGACTCCGCCGCCCTCCCACCCCCCTACAGCGAGAGCGAAGCCTCCACCGCCCCTCCTGCCTCCCAACCACCAATCCACCATTCCCCTCCCCCAACAACACGCACCAAACACACATCCCCCACGTTCAAAAACGGACACCCAGTCATCTGCTCTACCCGAACACTCATTGACCCCCTCCTTGACACTGACCCCGTCCTCCTCGAAAAAACTATTCGCGCAAATGCTCAAATCCCTCCCGTACAATACATCCACATCCTCGGCACACACCGCGAAACCACCACCACCAACAACAACACCAGCAACCGGCGCAACAAAACCGAATCAAGCACTACATCAACCGACGTCACCGACTTCCGCCTCGTCCTCAACATCACCCCTTACCTGCATCCCAATTTCAACTCCGCAGACATATCCCCCATGCGCCTCTCCACCATCGACAACAACACTCGCGCCTTCCGCGGCGGCATCACGCAAACCCGCGGCCCAACCAGCCATACCCCCACCGACCTCGAATCCAGCAGTGCCGCACCACCAGCGCCCAAACCCAGCTTAACAGAATGGACACACCGCTACTGCGCCTCGGGCGCCCGACTGCGCTCCTTTCGTCTGCAGCGCGAAGTCACGGGGCTCCGCACCACACTGCTGGCGCAGCGCATCGAGGCGTTGATCCGCAGCACGCAGTACCGCGGACACGTCTCGATTACGTTTCCCGTGGAAGACGCGCATCTCGACATCTACACGGCGTGCTTTATGAATCGGTGGCGGCTGGTGCCGTGGGTGCGCTGGGTGTTTTATCTCTCGTTCCTGTGGCTGTTTGCCTGGCCTGTGCTGTTTTTGGCGACGAGGCGGTATGCGGTTGTGAGAGCGCAGTGGCCGTTTAGTGTGGAGGATGGGAGGGGTGAGGCGGTGTATACGACGGTCAGTGAGGAGCAGTGGGTTGGACGGTGGGGGGTGGCGTTGAAGAGGTTGGTGTTGGAGGGGTGGGATGGTGAGGTTAGTGAGGAGGTTATGAGGGGGTTGGAGGCGAGGGAGGGGGATTCTCGGATGCCGGGACTGGGGGCGGGGTGGGAGGGCGCAGATGGGGTGTTGGAGGTGGTGGCTCAGGGCGTGAGGGTCGCAAGGGCGGTGCAGACTGGGATGTTGGAGAGAGGGTTGCTTGGAGGTTGGGGGTATGATTGTTGACGGTTGGAATGGTACGTATTCTTTTTGTTACACTGGGGACGTGGCGTCTCTGGTAATTGAAGCGCCCTGCTTTCCTCTCGACATTCGAACCATCCTCCCTGCAACAATATCCCACCATCTATTCTACAGCAGCCTCATCTCTTCCCTTCCCAGTCATATCCTTCCCACCCTACCACTCCCAAACTTCCTCAACCACCCACGCAGAACCCCTTACCCCCACCACCGCGCCCACACACAGCACTCTGGGCCTAAACGTCGTAGAGCAAGGAAGATAGCCCACACCAATCCTAGCCGTCCTCTTCCACCCTTGCTCAACTACTTCCTCTTCCTCTGCCTCCCCATCATGCTCGCGTTTTGCTTGATTTTCCTTGGTATTGTTGGTGCCGTTGTTGACATGGAGATGGCTTTCTCCTTGGGTATCTGTCTCCATGTTCATATCCGCATCACCAGCACCAAAAAATTCCCACCGCTCAATCGTAACATTGCTCCCCTCCATCAAGATCCCCTGACAATACTGTCCCACGCGCACAACCACGCCGCGGACGTGCGGCAGACCCGGGTCCTCGAGACGCAAGGTCACTGCTATCCTCCTCGGTGCATTTGCCAGCATCTCCGTCTCGGTTGCCGCTGCCGATGTCGGTGCTTCCAGCGAGGCAGGCGCAGAGAGACTAGGTGTCAAGTCCCCAGTCGGCAGGACAGGGACATCGCGCCATAGTTCCTCGTGGCCGCTTACCCTGCCAAGCGCAGGATGGAATGCGTGTCCGACTTCAAGCGCCAGGCTGGGGGAGATGGTGTACATGTCTCCCTCGTCCGTGGGGATGTTGGGTGAGCCGACAGGGTGGCGCGAGTCGAGCCAGTGCGTCCAGGTGCTGTGGCTTGTCTTGCCGGCCCATTCAGGCTTGCCGAGATCAATGCTTGACGACGTCGAGGTCCCGGCGAATGCCCATTCTAGTCTGCCGGGCTCGGAGCGATTGGGCAAAGGAGCGTTGGAGGAGGGGTGCATGGGTTTGTAGAGTCGGATGTCGACGAAGGTGTTGTTGGGGGATGTTAGGACGAGGGTGCTGGTTGGCTCGAAACAGATTTCGGGTAGGTTGAGGGGGTTGCGATGGGGGAGTCCGGTGGTGTAGGGGATGGGTGTGCCGGGGGGAGGCGGGTGTGGGATGAAATAGATGTATTCACGTATGGAAATGTTCGCTGTAGAATTGGAGGGGATGACAGGATCCGGGGATGAGGTGAATGTTTTAGTGCGCTGACTGGTAGAAGACGCCATACTGATGATGGATGTAGTTGGGCTGTAAGCTGAGTCGATTTTGGTCGAGTCGTTGCTGATGCTGGAGGCGTCACTGATGCTGAGTTGTTCAATGAGTGCCTCTGTTGTTTGAACTTGCCCATCTTCGTGCTCTTCGTGTGCCGCCATATCGGACATGGCTCTTGAATCCATGGCGCAGAAAAAGAGTCGAAAGGAGTTGAAGGACAGACTCACCGAAGCGAAATGCGTGACAGTGCGCTGGGTGGTCGACGACTGCAAGATGATGTATGCAGAGATAGGAGTACCAATGTTGACCTAGTAAAATGATCAGTGGCTACCTAGTCACAGAAAGAAACATTATGTCAAAATAGAGGACGGTGAAGATGAATGAGACAATTGGATTAATAGCAGTCGTACCGGTATGCTTTGCCTGTCAAAAATGCATAGTTCTAGCTCCATTGAACCTACCCTTGCTCAAATTCAATAAAATTTCAGCTATGGATACCTTCTCACCAAGAATGGAATGCAGGTGCAGCAAGTGTGGGACAATTGTCTGTTGTCAATAGGATAAATGGTACGCTTGAGGTTTGTGGATTACTTGGAGTGGGGAAGGCGTGGCTGTCACCCCGCGACGCGCTAGAGCAAACGATGCGATTTGTTACTTGATATTGTTTTCACACTCACATGCTGGAGGAGGGCACGATTGTCGTAATAAAAGTAAAAATACAAACGTCAAGATATACGGTACACATGAAACCAATCTGTGTACGCGATTCACCATGTTCAAAACCCACAGTTTCACGACCACGATGTTTTGACAAGGGGGCATTGGCTTGCATTTGCAAAACTAGGTATCATTCACAAGCTGTCATATTGATTGACAGACCTAAACCATTGACGCCACCCATGCCGGGAATCTGATCGCCAGACCCTTCTCATGACTTTTGAACCCGTCGTTAGACATAGCAAGAAAATGGACCACCACTATGGCGAATAATCTATTTCTTCTTGGCGTCGGCCTCATCAGCCTTGGCCTTTGCGCGCTTCTCGCGGGCACCAGCGTAACGGGCCTCGGCGCGAGATTCACGGAGCTTCCTGTAGGCGTTCTCGGTGGCCTCGTAGTTGCCAATCGGGCCCTCCTCGAATTCGATGACGTTCTTGATGGGGAGGCTGGCCTTGGTGCTGGCAATGACATTCTCGGCGCTCTTTGCGGCCTTGATGTCCTCGGCGGAGGCGTCACCGTTCTTGGTCTTTCCGTTGCGACGGGGGAAGAGAATGAGGCGCTTCCTGTATTCCTGGAGGCGCTCAACGTTGGCCTTGAGGCCCTCCTCCGAGAGGTTCTGGCGGCGAGGGTCGACCGAGATACCGATAGTGCGGGCAAACTTGCGAGGAATACCGGCGGCTGCCATGGTTATTAGTAAAGCACGGTGCGACAAGGCAGGGGATTTGTACCTTTCAACTCAACGAGAGAGAAACCACGGCCGGGCCTGACGCGGCGGTTGTCTGTGTCCAATATCAGTAATCGCATCCCAATCCACGCGCCGACCACACATACACTTGACGGTAGGGCATCGCACAATGGGGCGGAGGAGGTCGACGGGGCGAGGAGCAACCTTCGCGGCCTTGGCAACACGAGCGTTGCGTCTGGACTTCTTCTTGCCCGGCTGTTGCGGTCGTTAACATCTTGAACACAGGCGCCACAACTCTCAGCGAGGTGAGAGGGGAATTACCTGGTCGAAGTGCACGCGGACGTAGCGTTGCCTGCGCGAAAAGTCAGCCTATATACTCTGCACAGTACGTTTCGGACAAATGGCCTACCAGTCCTTGTGGAAATGGTTCTTCTGAATCTGCTGGTTGTGCTTGATCGCCATTGCTGCAGATTTCTGATGAAAGTGTTAGAATACTTTTTTTGCTCGATTGCGCGTGCGCAGGTTGGGCGGGCGTACCTGTGTTGGACCTGCGGTTAGTACGGGCTGACAACTGGAAGTTCGAGATGTCGAGGGCCAATTTTCGACGAGTTGCTTAGCGTGGGTCGCTTGGGCCGGCACAATGTTTCGCCGATGCGCGTTTTCTTGGCGTTAGCCCACCGAACCGTCGTTGTAACTAGGTACCTACATAGAGTATGGACGGCATGGTTGGATACCTAATCACCGGACACGGAGCATGCCAAAGAGTACCAATCTCATGTTTCAGATATAGCATTGAGTTTGGTGTGCTAGCTAATACAAGTCGTCACTCATTGCGGTTTCCCAAAAAATCACCCAAACATCAAGTGGTCGGCTCACGCTGGCCGCGGAATAATAAAATAGCAAAACATCATGGCCACCGCATTGCGTGCAGCAGCTCCAGAGAAGGGTATCGTATCCAAACATTCACAAAGATGCTTCAAACAAAACCGCCCGTCCCTCGCTCGTGAGTGTCGTTGGTCAATAAACTCCCTGCCACAATGGTCAGGAACAATCTACTCGCGCAACAGACCACCAATACCAAGACCTACACCATGATCCGTGCGTCCTCTCTTCTGCGGACTCGTGTATTGCTCAGACGGATGTCTTCGCTTCTCTGCATCACCTGGTCTTGAGAGTCCATGGCCCTTTTTCACTTGGCCAAAGATCTTGGATTGCACCAAGTTTGTGGCTGATAGGGAGGGTGCAGCCATTTGTCCCTTGGCCGATGGGGGCTGTCTCAGCAGACTTGTGGCTACCTGGCTTGCCTGTGACTCCGGTACTTCATCTTCTTCGCGGTCAGTGAAGGCTTCCTCTTCATCGATACTGGAGGCCGTAATCGTAGAGTTGCTGCTTTGACGTCGATTATTCACAGGCTTATGTTGATAGTGCGCTGGAGGCGCCGACTGGGGCACATTGTTTGGCACATGGACAGGAGGAGTACGCGGCACCTCAGCCCGAGGCTGAGCAACACGCCGGTTTGGAGTTTGCGGCAACGACGACATGGACTGTGCACCTCGGTGATGGCCGAATCTCGCCCTTGGAGCACGAGATGTGGTGGGTGTGGCTGGCGCAGTTGCAGTCTCTTGGCTCAGCATCTTGTCGGCCAGGAGGAGAGCCTCGAAGTTGTTTTGTCCTCTGCTATCCTGATGCTGGAGATGAGGTGGTACACGTGAAACACGACTTCTTGGAGTCGGCTGTTGTGGCGTTCCATAAACAGATCGGGGCGAGCCTTGTTCAATCTGTTCCAAAAGGGGTGCAATGTGATCGCGATTCATTCGGATCCTGGTCTTCAGCCTATCGTTCTCTTCCAGCAGACTTGCCAGCTCGCCCTCTCGATGCTCGGTCAGGCGCTTTTGCTGTTCGAGCGAGTCGCGCAGCGCCTCATTCTCACTTTGTAGCATCTGGGTCTGGCGATTCATCTCAGACATGAGAATAGCGTTGGCTGCATTGGCGGACTCCTGGTAGGTTTGCTCAGGGGTAGCCAGTACTTCGCGGCGCTTCGCTTCAGCTTGCTGGAGGACATCAATCTCGCGATGGGCCATGGCTAGCTCTACAGCCATACGACTGGCAGCTTCTTGACTCTCCATGACAGCCATGTTGTACTGCAGCTTGTAGTGTGCTGCTGAGAGTCGCATATCGCGAAATGCATTCGAGAGGCTGTTGATCATGGATCGCAGCTCCTCTGCGGATGCGTTGTTGACCTGTTCTGGCGAGTAGAGAGCAGCAGCAGACTCCAACAAGGCTGGAGGCTGGCTGGGCAGCTTGCTCGTCGGCGGTGGGGAAGTCAGCTGAGGCGTTGGAGGAGTGGGAGTGCGCATGATGGTACGGGTGCCTGGCAACTGAGATGATGGCGGAGGCGTCATGGAAGCGGTCGTCTGCGGGGTTGGAGAAGTAAACTTGACTCGGTCTGGCGATGGCAGCTTCGACATGTCGAGAGGTGCAGCCGATTCGGAGAGTGATGCAGAGTGGAATTTGGGTGTCTCAGGGTGCGTGCCTTCGGTGGTAGGCATCAATGACTCCTGCGCGGGCGGCTGGTACATGGGCGGTTGATACTCCATGTTGGGGCAACTGCGTCGACTACTCGAGCAGTGTGTGACTCGGCGATAGTGTGGCTCGATAAAAAAAACACCAAAGGAGGCCTCTTGCGGATCTATAGCTGAAGTGCGATCACGCAGTGCTATCACAGGACGTCACCAGCCGTGGTTGCGGGCGGGTCGAGGGCGCGAAATGACGGAGCGGTTCGCTTGGAGTTGAAAACGGTACCGTACGGTGGGTGGGTAGCTGCAGGGATGCGCGTGGATGCGCGCTTGCAGAACAAGAGTCGCCAACGGTATGCGACTACAATGCTGACCAAAGCAGACCAAAAAAGCAAAAGGCAGGGGTTGTGGGGAGAGGTGAAGGTTTGGGGAAAGCAAGGTGGGTGTCGGTAAGTATGTTGTGTTGTGTTGTGTTGTTCCATGTGGGGGAGACACGGACGGTGCGCGTGGAGGAGGTTAGGGAAGGGACCATAGGGTTAGCCGGCGCGGCAGGTGGGACCGATGACCGTACCTACCTCGATGTACTACAACACCACGGTCGTCCTTGCCCTGCTGAGATGGCTCTAGGGGCGCTAAACCGGTTCCGGACAGGCTCTGATGAAACACACCAAACACACGAAACACACTGTTGCGACGGGCAACCACAGCCCGAGAGCCACGGGAGGGTCTACGCCGAGGCCGAATCCTGCACCCAGCTTGCCCGATTCAGGGCCCAATTGCCAAATTGCCAAACTGCCAGTTTGTCCAGATGAGACTCAGAGTCGGCAAAGACATTCAACAACAGTTCCTGCTCGAAGATGCTGTCCGCGCCCGCTTGCTGCGTCCCCCACGTCTCCCACTGTCGACAAAGTTAAGGGTCCCCCGCCCTCTTGGCCCAACATTGCTCTCTCTCTCCGTCTCCGTCTCCGTCTCCGTCTCCATCTCCGTCTCTGTCTCTGTCTGTTCGCCCGCTCAACCATGGATCAGGCGTCATCCATCCCCCGCCCGTCTGGCATTCCCAGACCAGCATCGTCTCGTCTCCCAGTGCTCAGACCGTCAGGCAGCCAGTCGCAACTCCGTACGCCAGCCTCGACCGATAGGCTTCGTGCCGCAGCCTCCACCGAACAGCTGCGCAAGAAGCCCTCCATCTCGTCCATAAGCCGGCCCCCTCCGCCAGCAACGACACTGCAAAAGAAGCCATCGAGAGCCTCCCTGGTGCGCTCCAACACTCCATCGACCTCTGCGCCCACCAATCCCTCCTCCAACAGGGCGTCCATCATATCCTCACGGCGAACGAGTGGGATCCCCAGCTTTGGCCAGCCACGAACGACTACCCCAAGCTCGACTCCAGCAAACGAAGCTCCGGCCTTTAGGCGACCCTATGTCCGTCCCTCGTCGCGTCAATCCAAGGCGCCTTCCCTGTCGACGCGTTCGTCGAGTATCACCAGGGAGGACGATACATTGGGAAATCTGAATGGCTTTAGATCAGCCTCACGAGCATCTTCAAGAGCAGATTCAAGGACTGGCTTCCGGGACAACGAGCCAGATTCGGCATCCGAAGACGTGTTGGAGCAGTCGCCGGAGCTGCAAACATCGCCAAAGAAGAAGTCACGGCCGTCGCTTTCGGAAAGAACGGTAGAGAGCCTGTCGCAGCTTCCCTCGTCTCCAGCAGCAAGCAAGACACGGCGAAGATCCAGCTTCTTCGGTGCAGACAATTCCATGGGTCCGCCTCTGCGGCCTGCCTCAGCCCTGTCAAGCAACGGCAGCAGGCCAACGACCAGCGACGGCCCACCGCAACCTATACCAGGCACCCCAAAGCGATTCGCAGCTGCATCGAGTAGGATGTCTATGACTGCGCCTGGCAAGCGAACAGTCAGCGCAAGTGTGGCTACACCCACAGCGACGCCTAGCAGGACACCTATGATATCACGCCCAGCATCAACCATCAAAAAGCCGCTTTCTCTTATCCAAAATGGGCAGAATACACCAAAACCACGGCCGTTATCAGAAAGCAAAAGTCTCACTTTGCGGATGCCAAAGGCGAGACCCTCGCTGAGTGGTGTTTTTGGTCAAGCCGTCTCATCTCCGGGCACCTCGGGAGCTGCTCCCGCAACGCCTTCTCTGAAAACAAATTCGCAGCCCAAGCAGACGCCAGATACCAGCAGAAGAGTATCGACGTCTTCCTCAACTCTGCGTAATCATATAGCGAAAGCCAAAGCTGCACAAATGCCAGATCTCGAAACAGTCGCGCAGTCCCCTCCAAAGAATACAAAATCTTCGAATGCGTTGCGAGAACAGATTGCAAAGGCAAGAGAGGCCGCACGACGGGGAAAGGCAGAACCGCCCCGGACAAGCACACCGCCTAGAGACGCTATAGTACCTGACCCCGCTGAAATCGCCAGTTTCGACTTTGGGCTCGACGACCCCTTTAATCGGGCCAGCAAGGGTGGCAAGTCTGTAATGCGCAAGCGGATCGATGGTGCTCGAGCAGACGGACGCCTGAATCTTGCAGCGATGGGTCTAAAAGCAGTTCCTGACGACGTGCTCAGCATGTACAAATATAACCCAAACGATACAACCGTGACATGGGGCGAAGTTGTTGACCTTGGTGTGATGATTCTAGCAGATAACGAATTGGAGACCTTGCCAGATGCCATGTTTCCCGATGTTGATGCTGAAGAAATGATTGATTCAGATGAAGCAGGACCTCAATTTGGTGGGCTTCATACCATGGATCTGCATGGCAATGTGCTACGAGAGCTACCAGCTGGCATGGGAAGACTTTCGTTACTTTCCAAGCTGAACTTGGTAAGTCAATCCTGAACTGGGTTTTAACAACAGCGACTGTGGTCTTCTCATCGGCGTCCTGCTTATCCTCTGATCTCAATGCTGACACAATTCAGTCCAGAAACAAGTTGCGTAACGACGTTTTTGATATCGTATCTCGAATACACGGCATCCGTGAACTCAAGCTGGCCGAAAATGACTTGCAAGGTGACTTGCCAGCATCAATTTGTCGTCTGTTAGAGCTGGAAGTCCTCGACGTTCAGTCCAACAAGATTACGGATATACCTGGTGAAATGGGTCATCTGACACATCTACGAACTATAAATATCAGCGACAACCAGCTGAAGGCTATACCAATGGAGTTATTCGAGTCACCTTCGCTCATCGAGCTACAGGCTTCTAAGAACCGACTTGAAGGCACGCTTTTCGACATTGCCGCAATACCACATTTACAAGAGCTAAATGTAGCCAATAACTCGATCCGATCGCTATGTGAAGGCGAGTCTATCGAACTACCTGCTATCAAGAGTCTGATCTTGTCAACGAATCGTTTGACGTCGCTACCCAAAGTCTCGGCCTGGACGAATCTTACCACGCTCCTTGTGGGTGAGAACAAGCTCGCAAAATTGCCAGAGGGATTTGTTGACCTGGAGCAACTCCGCACCGCCGATTTTACGGCCAACGACATCACTCAGCTGGACGAGAGGGTAGCACTTATGAGTAACCTGATGAACCTCACGCTGGCAGCTAATCCGCTACATGTGAAGAAGTTCCTTACCATGAATACTGAGGACATCAAGCGAGACTTAGCATCACGACTGCAACCTGCGGATGCGGTTCTAGAGGAAGACGAGCATCTCGGTTTTTCCAACGGAATAGAAGAAGAGGCTGCTGTGTCTAAATGGCAGCCTACACCCTCTGGTACACTCGATCTGTCAGGTCAGGCCTTGTCTGAGATTTCAGCAGAAACTGACTTGGCACCATTTGTCGACGACATCCGTCAGCTCTATCTCCACCAAAACACGTTTACAAACATTCCAACAACCCTCTCCCTCATTACACACCTCACTGTCCTCGACCTGTCGAAGAACGCCCTTGAAAACGCCCTTACCATCCCACTCTCCCTTCTCAAACTCCGCGATCTCCGCCTTGCATCCAACAAAATCGCCACTCTCGATTTCCTGACGACCCACCTCACAGCTCCCCTCCTCCAAACTCTCGATGTATCGCATAATCGGCTCTCTGGTGCCCTCCCCACTCTCACAAACACCTATCCGGACCTGACGACACTTCTCGCATCCGACAACAGCATCGGCGATATTAGCGCCGACGCTCTCAAAGGCCTCAAAATCGTAAACCTCAGCAACAACGATATTGAGCGTCTGGAGCCCCGCATCGGTCTGCTACAAGGCACACTGACTAGCCTGGATGTCGCAGGGAATAAGTTCAGAGTGCCGAACTGGCAAGTCCTAGGTAAAGGAACCGACGCAGTGCTTACGTGGCTAAGGGATAAGATTCCCAGAGAGAGCTGGAAGAGCAGTGATACCGAGTTCTTTGACGCTGATGATACTTTTTAGAGGAAGTATTTTATCTTTGGGGGTTTGAGATGGATTTGGGTGAGCGCTTTGTCGTCTGCATGAATGCGACTTCGGTGCATGGGCTAATTAGTTGTTCTGGACTTGACGGGTAGGATGGCATTTGGGGGAAGTAGGGGGGTGCATGGGAACATTGATTTTCTTAATTGTAATTCTTTTCGGCTTCTTGTATATATCTTTTTTTTCCTCTTCTTTTTCCACTGGTAAATACTAAAAGGCATTTATCTTTATTAATTAGTATTCAAAAATCCATACCTATTCATATATGGCAAATATATGTCATGAACTCTCATCCTTCAACAAACAACACACAGTCAATCGCCCAACAGCAAGACTTGTACCATACAACTTCATTATGGGTGAATATTATACTACTCTACAGCAGCCACCTACAATCCGCTCGCCTGAAAACACGCAAGATATAAGAATCAAGAGGTACAAACCCTCTCTATATCTCCGCCCTTGCACATCCCTCTCCTACAAAGTGTCCATCTTACTTACGCAGACTAGCCAAAAGCTGCGGCAGAACCACATCGTTGACATGCTGCCAGACCCCAGAACTATCCTGTCCCTTCAAGCTCGCATCCGCGTAAAAGGTGCCCCTGATACCCTGTAGCGCATACAAGTCCTTGTAGAAGCCGTTCTTAATATCCTCACTGCGTACCTGCAGGTAGAATGGCGAGTGGCTGCTGAAGCGGACAAACTCGGGCTTACCGGCGGACTGGGGGAATGTTTGCGGGTTGACCTGATGCAGCTTGTTGAGGCCGGCGAGGATCTCGGATTTGACAAAGTGGTCGCTGTAGGGGTGGGATGCTGGGGTGCGGGGGCCCTGGTAGTAGACAGTGTGCAGCTTGGGGCTGCCGCTGAACTGGCCGTTTACGACACCTGGTAGAGGGGCGAGCATGAAAGGAGTGTTTTGCTTTGCGTTGATGGTGGTGGAGTTTGGCGGGAGGCCGGAGTTTTTGACGACGGAGGTGTAGTAGGCGCCGTTCAGGAATTTGGCGAAGACGGAGGCTTCACGGTTGTCGAGGTCGAAGGGCTTGAGGTAGTCCAATTTGGTGGGGATGGTGATGAGGAGCTTCTTGGCCTTGATGAGTTTCTTGCCCTTGGGAGTCTTGACGATGAGGGAGATGCCGGATTGAGTGCGATCGGCGTCCTGGACGTACGAGGATAGGAGGAGGCTGTCATCGGCGGCGAGCTCGGCAGTGGCGGCGGTGTAGAGCATGCTGTTGTTGTGGGCGGCGGTTGTGAGGAAGCCGGCTTGGAATGTCTGGAGGAGATCGAGGTTGAAGACACGGATGACCTCAAGAAGAGGGATGGTGAGCGGGTCACCAAGACCTGGGTTGTAGGTGGCCATCAAGGGAAGGGCAGCCTCGAAGCCGTATTGCTGAGCAACTTGCAACAAAGGCTGACTAAGGACGTCTGGCACTGGGTCTGGCACAAACAAGCCGGCAGTCAGCTCAGGCCATTGAGAAATAAGCTGAGCATATTTTGCAAGAGCCGTGGCGACAGCCTGCTGGTCTGGCGCCTGAGGGGGGATGACCTGCTTGCCAGATGTGAAGTCATACATGAAAGAGCTTGCGCCATTGAAGTTGATGGTGGTGAGAGGAATGTTGAAACGCCCAAAGTATTTCCTCACAAGATCAGCGTTATGGAAGATGACAACACCATAATCGATTGGGACACCACTCTCAGGGTCAGTGTAAGTCTCGGTGTGTCCTCCAAGGTGGTCGCTGATCTCAACCACAACCGAGGAGACATTCCTGTCCTTGAGCGCAATGGAAGCATACACTCCTGAGGAACCGCCACCGACGATGGCAACGTCCTAGTGAATACAATCCTTTGCGTCCCAATTCGAAGGGTCGTGCTTCTTAGAGTCGAGTTTCGGCAGAGCCGTTACCGCTGACGCCAACAGCGTAAGGGAAAGGATGTTAGATAGCATTATGATTAGCGATGAGCGTGGTGGAATGGTAATGAGTGTGATGACAGTCTCGGAGCGTGCTGATTGACAAACGATGCGCCCTCACTTCTTATAACGCAGCAGCGGCCCTCCTCGCTATTTGGGACTTGCCGTTGGCGGAGTGCAGCGCACGATGGAATTACCCCGACCTTTGTCAGGAGGCATCTCTGTTGCGGGCCTATCTTTGGGATCATGACCACAAACGACAAAGAGTTCGGTGCAGTCAATGAGGAGATGGCTCCATGAGAAGCGCCGAACCATGACGGCCACAAGGATGAGAGCCTTCCACTCCAAACTTTCACTGTTGATTGCCAGGACTGGTGGATCTCTGTGGCTACCGAGAAAGTTTGGTCCTTGGCCAGTCCAAGCGCAAGTTTTATGTGCGACAAGTCCACGACTTAGAGCATGCAGAAACCCGAAGAACTGTATGCGCACATCGACAGCTGTTGTTGTAGGATGCGAATCCCGTCGGCCCGACTCGAAAGGCTCCAAGTCGGTAGGGCGAACTCGCCCTAGGAGATTAATAAGCCATGCTCTTACAGGATTACGCATTCAAGGTTCCAAATCAAACCAAAAGAGGATTTGGTGCCTGACACGCTTTCAATGGGCCGATTGGGCTCCCGGCCAACACGACCAACGGTTGGGAAGCCGAAGACCTAGTGCGGTCCAACAGTAGGTAGATGAGTTCGCACATTGCACGGTATTCCTCATTGACCGTAGAAACCATCCCATTCGCGCGCTGAAAAGTTGTCAGTCGTCGATTATGTTTCTTGTGACGCGTTGAAGAGTCCCATTGCCACCGAGGTACCGTAACATACAGAAGCCTAACCACCAGACACACACCCCATTGCTCTGTGCTTACGTGTGTCGCTGTTGTTGAGGTTAACCGTTGCCGAGGGGCAATCTCCCTCTTCTCATCTCATTCTGTAGTAATCTCCCTCTTCTCATCTCATCCTGTAGCAATCTCCCTCTTCTCTTCCCATCCTGTAGTAATCTCCCTCTTCTCTTCTCATCCTGTAGTAATGAAGGCGCATCGGTGGCTGGGCAGGGCCCGTAGAACGACTGCCCTGCACCATCCATGTTCAACGCCACATCTGCCCGCACATAGGTACCTTAGGCATGGGGTACCGGTACGCACGAGCCCGAAACACTGCCGTCTACGGTTGATCATATATGACGGATAAGTCGTTACAGAAGATGGACGGACTGGACTGGCTTTGATGGAGGTCCGAAAGATGGAGGAGTAAGGTGTCGTAGTACCATGGTAGAATACGTGAGTGTAAATGTAAACCCCACCAAGACGTCATAGGTACCGGTAGGCTGAGCTGATTCACACAGCCACAGGCGCCCGATTGCGGGACTTGCCCATCGTTGACAGCTGCAATGATTTCTCTCTCGTTTCAACTGCTTCCATAGTGTGTATTGCTCACAGTGTTCGGATATCAGACACTCGCACCTCACGTGTCACGGATTCAAGACGGCCGTCGATCACAATTGGCCATATACAGTCCAAATCATTCGTAATCTCAGCCATCGCAGTTCAGCGCAGGCTTTTTGCCTGTCACCTCTCTCCCGCAGCTCTGGGCATTCGAGCATGGAGACACTGCGAACCGTTGTAGGCGCAGCTCGCAACCATGGCCGTTTTGCCAAAGTCTTCCCTTGGGTCAAAGCACCCTTCATCATCGCAGCGCCCATGCGTATCTTTACTGGGCCTGAGCTGGCATTCACAGTATCGGCATCGGGTGGCCTTGGCTTCATCGGACCTGGTGCGAAGCCAGAAGACACTGCCGCCGATTTGGCAACTACACAGGAGTTGCTCAGCAACACATCCTTGACAGCCTTTCCAACTGCCTTCTCCGTAGGCGGAAAGAAGCTTCCTGTCGGTGTTGGCTTTCAGCTCTGGAACGGTGACCTGGCAGCCGCAACAAAGGCTGTCAAGGACTATCAGCCTTGTGCTGCGTGGCTGTTTGCGCCCCGAAATGGTCAGAAAGAGTTGGACGAGTGGACTGCGAGTCTTCGAGAGGCATCTCCAGGCATCCACATTTGGCATCAAATTGGGACTGTTCAGGAGAGCATCGACGCAGCGCAAAGTGCCCATAAGCCCGACGTGCTAGTTGTACAAGGTGCTGAGGCTGGTGGACATGGAAGAGCCACAGACGGAATGGGAATCATGGCGCTGTTCCCAGAGATCGCAGACAACGTGCGCAATGCTAATATAGGACTCATCGCTGCTGGAGGCATTGTAGACGGACGAGGAGTCGCTGCTGCTCTGGCACTGGGAGCAGATGGTGTCGCAATGGGCACCCGCTTTCTTGCATCTTCCGAGGCGCGGATCAGCAAAGGCTACCAGAATGAAGTGGTGAGAGCCAAAGACGGCGCTCATGCTACAACGAGAACACATTTGTACAATCACCTAAGGGGCACTATGGGCTGGCCAGAGCAGTGGAGTCCTCGCGGCATCACTAATAAGAGTTGGGAGGAGCACCAAGCGGGCGTGCCATTTGAGCAGCTGAAGAATCGGCACGATGAAGCTTTAAAGACGGGGGAGGATGCATGGGGCGTGAATGGACGGACAGCTACCTATGCTGGTGCTGCAATTGGCCTTGTACACAGCGTTGAAGATGGCAGTACAATTACAGTGAGGCTGCGGGACGAGGCGAAGTCGATACTCAAGGGCTTGGGCAGTGAATTGTAGTGGCACATAGGCTGGTATAGTCGCATCCTGAGCATCAGGAGTCTAGTCTACGATGGGACTAGCGTTCCTCTGTCTCAGCTCCCCTCAGGCATCCAGCACCGGTGAAGCCAACAACTTCTGCATTCTAACAGACGATAAAGCCAGCTGTGACTCAATTATCGGGAGTCAAGGAAATGACACCTACAAAAGAATTTCTTTGATCGATCCTCTCCAGGCTTCTCCAATTCTTCCTTACTCTCCACTTGATCAAAATACCACTCTCTACAAACTTACTATCACACAATCATCACTCCAAACGAACTCCCATCTCCACTTGCTCATCCCAATAAATCAACATCAGCCTACCTAATATGCCCCTCAATCACTCACGCCTCGCAATTCCCCCTCCAACAACCACAAACCTCATCTCCAACTTCTCCCCCCAAACCATCACCTCCGACGCCCTCTCCACCCACATCATCATCCACCCACGCTTCCCCACCCTCGCCACCGCCTTCCTAACCCACAAACGCCTACATGGCTCCTCCTTTGAAAAAACCCTCTACACCCCCTCCTTCACATGGCGCCACCTCGTCGCCCGGCTGCTCGAAAAGCGACCACTCACTTTCATGAACGCCTTGGACTTCACCATTCTCCGCGACGGACGCAGCATCGACAATGCAAGCAAAGAATGGGATCGTAACGGCACGGCCGCACAGGACGAAAACGAATATCTCACATTGCAGGAATATCTCAGCTACGACGAAATCATGCTGGGTAGTTTACTCGGTGTAAGCGGATACAGTCACTTCATCAACAGCGGCTCGCGCTTCAATAGCAGCGTCCACGGTGCACCAGGGACGTTCCAGCCGCGCGGGGTGATTATCGGGGTTGTGGGCGCGCGATTCGAAAGACAGGGGCGGATGGATAGTGTGTATGTTCTCCCCCGTGGCAAGGAAACGATACAGCATCCCGAGCTCGTCGCCCTGTTTGAAGCGTGGTTTATGGCCAGGACGCAAAAGGGCGTGTCGTTTGATGACCAGATGTATATGGCGCGTATGAGGATTACAGTCGACATGTTATTGTGGGAGGCGAATGCGCGGGCAAGAGAGACAGGGTCAACCGCGTATTTGTATGTCGTTGGGCTTGGGCTGGGGGTGTGGCAGTACGACAATGCGCAGCCGGAATTGTATGTCGATACTTTTACCGCTGCTTTGGCTGCGCTGTCCCCGGGCAAGTTGCAGCATCTTACGACGCTGGAATTCGCATATATCAATGTTTCTTCCGCCGTTCAAGATCGTGTCTCGGCGGCGGCGGCGGCTCACAACATCAGGGTTCTCTTCAGCAAGCGCGATCCCGCTGCGAAGCTGGATACTGAGGAACTGCTGGTGCTCAGTTATGCATGGGATGGGAACAGTATGCCCGGAAATGAGTATTGGGCGGGGAGTCTGAGTGGGAGTGGGGATCCTGCGGCAGCATGTATGAGTACGATTGGAGAGTTGCATAATCCGCTTGTTAATGAAGGGTTCTTGGATAGGATTAGGGTTTGTGGAGGTGAGAAAGAGGTGTAGTGCTAAGAGGGGAGAGGGGTGAGAGAAGTCAGTAGTCTAATATGGCTTTCACATGTTCTCGTCTGTTATAACAAACAGTCCCCCTATAAGATATGTTTCGAGTGGAAATAAGTGTGCTGCTAGAAAATTGTCACAGTCTTTTCATGATAACGATAGCATGAAGCGCCTCTATGTCCTAAAACACGCACATCATTCATGTACACTATCAAAACCCCATCAACCTAAAACCCAAAACCTTAATTCCTGCCACCCTGCTTCACCTCTAAGCCGTTCAGATAACGGCACAAAAACAAGCACAGGATCCCCTTTATGAAAGCTAATGTGCGTGCATGGATGCCCTCGCCTGGAGCAAGCATCATCAGCGCTGACTTTGTGCTGTCCACCATATCTGTATGTGGTGGGTTCGTCCCCAAGGATGCCTTGAATGCAGGAATCACTGGCCAGTTGACTTGCGGGGTTGCGTATCATGCCGCCAAATTGTTTAAGGCAAGTCCGATTGCATCTGAAAAAGTTGACGAAGCGGGTACGGAGCTCCACATCTACAGTTAGTGGCAGATCGTCTATGGGTCTTAGGCTGTCATTGGGTGGGATTGATATCATTAGGCGCAGGCGCTTCCGAGGTGGAGACGCGGATGGTATTAGCGGTTCGCCCGAGGTTGAGGTAGACAGTGTCGATATTATGGTGTTGTTGTATTGGGGAGGATTCAAGGAGGGGAACGATGGAGTCGAAGATAAAGCGGGCGCCGAGTGGACGCTCATCAGATAGCGATCTTGGAGGGTTGAGTGATCGTGTTTAATGAAAGAATGGGGTGCGTATGCCTCACCCAGAGGTATGCTATTGCCTTGATTGTTGGATGTCATGAGTGTTTTGTCATCTTGCAGTGGAATAGTATGCAGGTCAGCTGCGGCGTTAGTATATCCTAAAGATGGACCATCTGTGGAAATTACCGATTGTTTTTTCTTCTCCTTTCTCATTATCTTCTTCTTCAATCTTGAATGATACCCTTCCTGTCTGCGCACCCCCTGGCCAGTTTGTTTCAGTAAAATTTAAGTTGGATCCGTGGGCCGTTTCCCTTGCTGCAGCGGACGCGAATGACTCGAACTTTTGAAGCAATTCGTATTGGACATCGTCGGCATTAGAAGGGGAGCTGATTGCAGCGAGAAGATATTCGCTGACAGCCACTGAGATTAGCCGAGTGTTTGATTGTATTTGTTTCATCGACGAACTATTGTAATAGGTCTATGTCTTCCAAAGCGTATTTGAGAATTGGCAATATGAGGCTGTGCGATAGCCCTGCAATACATTGTTCGCGCTCGGGCTCAGATATGTACTTCAACATATGGAGCATCCGCCGCGGATCCTGACATTCATTCGTGGAAGACGACATATTTGGGTAGGTGGGGTGTCATGCGCGGTGTATAGATGTTCGAGATGATATATGGAGGATTGTGGCCAGAAATTTGTTGGCAGCGATCCGATATGATGGCCAGGTGTTTGAGGAGGTGTAGACTGGCAAGGGTACTTTGTGAGTAAAGAAGTATCGGGGTGTAATGGTAACCACAACCAACCGATGTACTGTACCTGCTTCTTTGATTCTTTTATAAGTACTCACCTTGTATATCTGAGGCCAGGCTTCAGACATGGACTTTGGAGGGCAGCAAAAGTGCTGTTCACGCGGATATACTGATCCTTCTTCACTCTGGTCCTAGTGCAACCCACTCGCCATTCCATATACCATCTGTCTTGCAGCCAGGGCAGCTCTGATGATCACACCCAGTCGGTTTAGTGAAATCGTATTTTTCCCACGTGATATCTTCATCTCCATCTTCTTCCCCTCCCTCACTCTTCGTGGCCAGAACCTCTTTCTGTGCCTCCCCTACCTGGTGCGAAGCAGCTTCAGTCGCACTTTCCTTCTCCCCATGTCTGACATTTGCAACGTCAACTTCCACGCTCTGGACAACAGGCTCCTCCTCTTCCTTGTCTGCCTCCTTCTTCTCTGCCTCCTTCCCAACAGCAACACCAACCTTCTTGAACCTACTGCCACTCGCTGCTGCTCCCCCACCGATCTTCGTAAATCGACTACCCACTCCAGGCTTCTTGTTCGCATCCTCAACGTTGATGGTGCGCATGTCGAGCCCTTGCTTGGGCTTGTTGCCCTCGCTGTCGTTGTTGGCGGTCAACTTCTTCATGTCGGCCAAGCGTTGCCTGTGGTTGTGATCGTAGGAGCGGAGGTGGTTTTCATAGTCAAGCTGGCGAGGATAGCCCTTGTCGCATATGGCGCAGTTGAAGAGGCGAACGGCATTGGGGACAGGGTTATTTCGCTGGTGAGGCCAGGTTAGAGAAAAGTGGTGTGGCTAGTCATTGGCTGTTGGAGACTGTAGGAGCTCACTGGAGGCATCGTGGTACTGCAACAGGACTACTGCCCAGTTTGTGACAGGAATTGCAGACGTAATGCGCGATAAAACCCGTTTCTATCTAACTGTACAGTAAAGTTGTCAAGTCGTGAAGTCGCCATGTTTCTTTTGGTGTTGCGGCTCACCTGCCGTCGGTCAAGCACAGACCCACATACCTAGTCCACTCACCGAATCAACGTCATCCCAATAATCCACCCACCCTCTCGAAATCATGCCCAACTTTTTCATAACACCATACACTCGGCAATCAGTACAAGATGACGCCCGATCCAGAGCTGCCTCCGGTTGAAGACGAGGAAGCGGGCGTCATGGGACTCATGGAAATTGACCCCTCACCTATTGAAGAAGAGCCACTGCAGTACAAGGAAAGCAGTTACTTCGCCTCACGAGGCAGTCCAAACAACGACAGCGAAGAAGCAAGAGGAATACGGCGAATGAACACCCTGGGTCTACGATTAGGCGACCATGGACCAGCCTGGTGGCGTACGTTTACCCCTTGCCTGTAACCCTAAAACCCCCCCAAAGAATCAAATCACTAACCACAAACCCCCAGTCCTACGTATCCAAAAATACTCCTCCTACGCATTCACCCTCTTCTCAGCCTTCCACATAGCAAACACATCCCTCATCCCTCTCGCCACCCGCTCTGTCCCACAGGCAAACCGCTACCTACTCCTCACGAGGCCCTACTACCAATCAACCCTCACTGAGCCTCTACTCGTCGCCCTCCCCCTCGCCGCACATATCACCTCGGGCATTGCTCTGCGGCTATACCGCCGGCGTCAAGCCCTCCGCCGCTATGGAGCAGAGACCCGAACAGATAAACGAACAATTCCCTGGCCGGCGCTGAGTGGCACCAGTATATTGGGTTATGCACTGGTCCCATTTGCAGGGTTTCATATTTGGACTACGAGGCTGTTGCCATTGTATGCACATGGTGATTCGAGTCTGATCAATTTAAGCTACATCAGTCATGGTTTCGCATCACATCCTGTTGTTTCGTTTGCGGGCTTCTCGGCCCTTGTGGGTGTGGGCGTGTTTCATTTCGTTTGGGGTGCGGCCAAGTGGATGGGGTGGACGCCTAGTCAGGTGAAGATTACGGAGGAGCAAAGAGACTTGGTGCGGAAGAGGAGATGGTATGTCTTGAATGGATTGTCGGCGGGGGTGACGGCATTGTGGTTGGCGGGTGGCCTGGGCGTTGTGGGAAGGGATGGGAAGATGGTGGGCTGGGTCGGCAAGGAGTACGATGAGTTATACAAGTACATCCCGCTCATTGGGCGGTCATTTGGGACATTATCCAAGTTTCTTATAATGGAATGAGCTTGATGACGAATGGATAGACAAACAAGAGAGCGAGAGAGATGACGAGACATGTACAGAGGATAGGGCATGGCAAATAGAGCATGTTTTGCGTTGCATTATACTATACCCCAAGAAATAACGACCGCGCCATACATCCCAAACATCTATTCAAACAAAGCTAATAGTCTATGTATATCCTCCCCTCGAGCGGCTGCAACGAGCCACCAGTCGCCTTCGCATACGAGCTCACCAGCAACTGCATACCCTCCGTTCCATCCAGCCTCTGCACCTCCGTCGTAAAGTTCAACACAACCAACGCAGTCTTCTCCTGATACCTCTTCCTGTACACAAACGTCTCCCCACCCTCCGCATCCACAAGCTCAAACGTCCCATATACAAAAACATCCTTATGCTCCTTACGCAGCTTTAGCACGCGCTTGTAAAACGCCAATACGCTATCAGTCTCCTTTTCCTGCTTCGCCACATTGATTGCAGCATACTCGTCATGCACCCTCATCCACGGCTGCCCCGTCGAAAACCCAGCGTTGACACTGTCGTCCCACTGGAAAGGGAGGCGGGCGTGATCACGCGCCATGAGCTGCAGTCCGTATGCGATTCTCTCTTTGCGGGTTGGATCGGTGCCGTCGTGTGCGAGATGAACGGCTTCAGCCCAATAGTTTTGGGACTCGACGTCCTTGTACTCGTCCATTGCCCAGGATTTTGGCGCGTTGATCATGCCGATTTCTTGCCCTTGGTACAGGAATAAGGTGCCTGTTTGCCCAATGAGCCAGAGGGCAAGCATCTTGGCGCTTTGCCGTCGCCATTCGGGTGCGTCGTTGGCGAATCGTGAGACGCTTCGTCCATTGTCGTGGTTCTCGTTGAAGACGGTAGTCCAGGCGTCGGTGCCTTCGATGAAGCATTGCCATTTCTCGACGATTCGTTTCATCTCGGGTAGGTGCCACTGCGCAAAATCGTATTTGTCGTTGCAGCCCGGCGGGCCTTGGCCGAGGTGGGTGATGTCGAATTGGAAGACCATGTCTAGCTCTCGTTCCAGGGCACTGACGTAGGGAATCACCGACTCGGGATCTGGGCACATGGATAGCTCGCCGACTGTCACGACTTGTTGATTGTCGTATGTGCGGTAGTGGGAGAGAACTTCGCGGTTCATCTCCTTGATGTATTCGTGCATCCGCGGGCCGTTGCACCACATTTGTGCTGCTGGCTGGATATCGCTCGTCGGATCTGTTATGGGTGCGTCAACAAACGGTAGTACCTTGGAGTACTTGTTGACCGTGTCCACTCGGAAGCCATCAATTCCCTTGTCGAGCCAGAATCGCATTGCCGAGTCGTAAATCGCCTTTCTACACTCTTCATTCTCCCAGTTGAGATCTGGTTGCGATTTGTCGTATAGATGGAGATAGTATTCCTGAGTGTGTTCGTCCCACGTCCATGTCCCTCCTGCAAAGTAGGAGCGATAGTTGGTCGGTGGCATACGATTACCACTCTTGTCGTAGCGTGCAGGTGCCCAAAAATACCAGTCTCGTTTGGGATTGTCCTTTGAACTTCTGCTCTCCTTGAACCACGCGTGTTGGTCGCTGGTGTGGTTCACGACCAAGTCCAGAATGATTTTCATGTCGTTGTTGTGGCATGCTGCAATGAGTTTCTCGACGTCCTCGACGGTACCATAGGGGGTGTAAACGGCCTCATAGTTTGATATGTCGTAGCCCATGTCAATTTGAGGCGAGTCGAACATGGGCGATAGCCATACTACATCTACACCGAGAGAAGCGATGTAGCTGATTTTTTGTAGTACTCCAGGAATATCACCCCAACCATCTCCGTTGCTGTCTTTGAACGACGCTGGATAGATCTGATAGAACGTGGCTTCTTTCCACCAGACTCGCTTATGATGTAACGGGTCTGCGTGCGGCGACATTGTACAGTAGACACACGTGTATGGTACTTTTAATAAATATCTTGCGTCCGCTGTAGGGTTGAATCTGTTCCCTTGGTCTTCAAGTCTTGCAATTCATGTGGCTGCTTCCATAAGAATGTAAACGGTCTGTTTCCAAACAGGTATTGCAGAAAGAGAATGATCGGGTGATAGGCAATCGCTGCTCTATTGTGCGTTAACCAATGGCAGATATAATATCTATTAAAGGAACGGCTTTGGTCGTCAACTGGTCAGTGACAGTAGAACTCGGATAAAGGGAAGCATTCGAAAGGATAGGTGAAGTCAACACTTCGTCGCTGTCCTCATTTGTGTACATTGCCAGACGCAACTCGTCGATCTTTACTCAATTGCCTAATCGACCCAGTATTCGAACCTGCAATGTGGAGTCCGGAGTCTGAAGCGGGCCAGCCAGTCGCGTGCGATTACAATTCCCTCCCGCGTCGGTACCGCGTTGCTTCCGTCCAGCCTCCGACTTGCTTCCGACTTGGATCCACCGACGAAACAGGCAATAAACCTGCCTCCGTGTTGCTCCCGTCACAGTTCCAGGAACCAGACTCGTGGAAATATCGCCAAAGAAGTCTCCCGTTACCTCGGATACATATTTTGGGCATAGTTGGACTCGTCTTGGGGCCGAGTTTGGGGCGCCATGGGGTGAGTTCAGGGAAAATGTGGAGATCTCGCTAACCCGCAGATTTGCACTTCCTGATTCTGTAAACGATCACCATACTCGAGATCGTCATGTATAAAACCCATCGATTGCCCGACTGATGCTCCAACACCTCATCCGAGCCATCTTGTCAATTCATAGGTAGTCGGCTCCTTTCGACAACATGGCAGATAAAGAACATCAACAGTCAACAGAGACGAAGCTTGTTGCCCTTAATGAGGAGGCTCAACATGCAGCCGAGGATGAAAAGTCCATGGGCCTAATCCAGGCCATCAAGCTGTATCCAAAAGCTGTCGGCTGGTCAGTCGTGCTTTCGAGTGCGTTGATCATGGAAGGCTACGATCTCGCGCTTCTTGGTAGTTTGTACGGTAGCCCACAGTTCAATCGAAAATATGGAGTCCTGAACCCTGCTACTGGGAGGTATGGTGTCAGGGCAAGCTGGCAAAGCGCATTGTAAGACTTTTTCCCCCTGTAGAACAGCGATTTTGTGCTGATACGATTTAGGTCCAACGGCGCACGGGCTGGTGAAGTTATTGGCCTGATCATCAACGGTTTCGTCAGTGAACGCTATGGCTATCGGAAGACGATGATGGGTGCTTTGATGGCAATGAATGCGTTCATCTTTATCCTCTTCTTTGCACCCAACGTACAAACGCTGGTGATTGGTGAGGTGTTCTGCGGTATCCCTTGGGGCATGTTCCAGACACTCACAACACAATACGCATCCGAGGTCGCGCCGGTGCGCCTGAGACCGATTTTGACGACCTTTGTAAATATGTGAGCAGCATTGGACAGTTTTCTCACTCAACTGGCTAACAACAGCAGGTGTTGGGTATTTGGTCAGTTCATCGCAGCTGGAGTAAATCGTGCATGTGTACAACGCCCTGACCAATGGGCGTATCGCATTCCTTTTGCCCTCCAGTGGATGTGGCCACTGCCAATCATGATCGGAGTCTTCTTTGCACCTGAAAGTCCATGGTGGCATGTTCGCAAGGGCGACAGAGCTGGTGCCAGAGCGGCGCTTCTTCGCCTTACATCGCCTGAGAAGGATCCAAACTTCAACGCCGACGAGACAATCGCCATGATTGAACACACCAACGAGATGGAGAAGAATATGTCAGAGGGTACCAGATGGTCCGATTTGTTCAAGGGTACCGATCTTCGCAGAACTGAGATCGTCTGCTTTGCGTGGATCGCTCAGACCATCTGTGGAACCAATATCATGGGCTACTTGTAAGTGATTGACTGTGGCGCCTCTGCAGGCCGCCTGCTGACTTTCAATAGTGCATATTTTATGCAAAAGGCTGGACTACCCACAGTCCAGTCCTTCAACATGTCGATGATCTCACTCGCGCTCGGACTGATCGGTACAGCGGGCTCGTGGCTGTTGATGCAACACTTTGGTCGACGGACGATCCACTTCTCGGGTGGCTGCATACTCTTCTTGATTCTCATTATCGTCGGATCATGCTCGTTTGCTGGAACTGAAGCTTCGAATTGGGCCATTGGCGCCGTGCTCATCGTTTTCGTCTTCGTGTACGATTTCACCATTGGGCCGGTCACCTACTCTATCGTATCTGAAATGTCGTCGACCCGGCTGAAAGCAAAGACGATCGTGCTTGCCCGCGCATTATACAACATTTCCAACATTGTTGTCAATGTGCTTACCAACTATCAACTCGGAGAGGCCAACTGGGCGTGGGGTGCAAAGACTGCCTTCTTCTGGGCCGGAACTTGCGGATGCGTCGTGGTTTGGGTATACTTCAGGCTCCCTGAGCCAAAGGGTAGAACATATGGAGAACTGGACATGCTGTTTGAGCAGAAGATTAGTGCGAGGAAGTTTGCCAGCACCCACGTCGATCCATATGGTTCTGGACATGGTCTGGAGAAGACGCTGAGCGAGAAGGCAGCGGCACATCCAGAGTGGAAGGAGTGAACCAACATTCCTACACCATGATATAGAACATGGCCATGAAACTATCCCTCTAGCTTTCAAAAACAAAGAGCTACTATTTGATGTTGTTTGAGGTCAACTTTCAATGAAGACCTGGACGCGACCCATCTCACAAGGCAGAGGCTCTACTGAGCTCGATGTGTCGTTTGATAGAGCCACCCTCGCTACCACCTCCACTGAAGCCACTTGATAACAATGTTGTCACCAAAGACCACCGCCTACCTCTTAGTGAGCCCCTTGCTCATTCTCATCTTCTTCAAGGGCTCGGAAGAGTTGTGTGTCATCCTCGGCATTGTTGTTTCGTAGGTCCTATGCTACATCCTCCTTCGCTGCACAACACTGTCGACTGGCTACCGAAACGCCTTCCACGCCTATGTCTTCCTATATTTCGTGCTGCCCACAGCCACCAGCCACCTTTTCTTCGAGCAGCCATTGGGGCAGTTCTTTGAGCAATTATTTGAGCGCTGCAGCTGTGACCCAGACATACTAGGTTAGACATCACAGACTGTACGACACCTTCCCCAGCCTCTACTACGTCAAGATTGCGCAGATCTAGCATTGCCTCTATTTGGGAACCTTCTGGGTCATGTTTCTAGGCACCTTGTGCTTCACCATTATGATTGTCGCCTTGTTCAAAGCGTTGGGTTACAAATGTTGACAAGATGGATCGAGCGCGCAGGATGGGGGAAACGCGACCATGGATTGTAGAGGCTAGGGACGCGGGAAGGCACCGACGCCGGTGGTTCCCGAGACGGATAAGCGGTGCAGGCGGTTGACTGATAATGACATCTACGTATGTGGGCGAACAGTGGGTTCGACGATGGCGCCAACTCTCGTGGCAGCGGGGTCTCGAAGGAGTTCGTATTGTTTCGAGTCGCTCACTTGGGTAGGATGGTTGATTACCAATGAGCAGTTGCTCCCATAGCCCTTATGACTTCGGAGTGTTTAGGTCATGGTCCTGAATGAAACTCTTTCGTCTGCCTATCTACCTCTTCTGAGATCCGTATACAGTCCTCGACCAACCTCTTCTTCGTATATGAAACGTGTATCTGGGCTCATGGGATCATCAAAGGCCAGATGTGGTAGTTCAATGACTTCACATATTGGCTTTACCAAGTCTGGCAAGAGTTCTTTCACTTTGGCTATGAGCAATGGGACGAACTTGTTTGATCCTCCTGGAAGCTTCGCAACTAACGATATCGTCTGCGTCAGATAGTCTGATGGACTAAGCTCGAGCTGTGAGACTGGAGAGGACACAAAAGGTAGGACATCTGCAAGAGCACAAGCAATGTCGAAAATCTTCTCGGTCTAGTGATATTAGTATTGGCACGAATGATGAAGATATCAAACGTACCATTCCAACTCCATGCAACTGTAAGCTGCTTAAGGGTAGCTTCATAGCCAAGACAGTGATGTCTCTCGCAATGACTATGGGATACCTAAAGGTCAAGCACTCGTACACAGACTCAGTTGACAGAAAGCCGAAACGAGGAAAGAGCTCCCACAGCTTGATCTGCAGCCAGAATTGGGTCACGCGAATATTGGCGATTTCTCCGTTAGATACGTGAAGTACTGGCGGTACTACTGTCCTGACATCGTGTTCTAATCGGAGGAGCCAGTCCTTGGAACAATCTCGGGTCGATCCATTCCAAACCGCGAAGAAAATCTCGTCCAGCGGACGGAAAATTGATGCGAGTCCGAGCATCCCTTGGCCAAAAGACGCAAGCTGTGGACTAGATGGAGTGATTTGGAGAGTAATGGGCCGATTCCTGCGCACAGCATGGGATCTAAGAAACGATGAGCCTGGTATTGCAAAAAGCGCTACGAAATCCTACCGTTCCGATATGACCAAGACCCAGAACATGGATCTCTGTGCAGACTCATCATACCAAGGATGGCCACCAGTCTTCAGCATCATGAAAAGCGTGGTGGCTTCTCTGAGATAGAACCAGGCTTGACGGTAATCGCCCTGGCCTGCGTAGGCGCCATAGAGAAAGAAGGAAATGTAAACTGAATGGGGAGTTGGCCGTGTTACTCTACCAAGGTCTTGAGCCAGCAGAGCAGTCTCCAGCGTATGTTTCCCAGCCTCTGGGTTGGTGAAAAAAGATGACGTTGGCTCGCCCTCATCGGTCAATTTTCCGAATGTGACGACGTATGCGCAAAAAGCGATCATGAATTGACGTGAGACACGCGATGCATCCATCTGTGAGGCCTCTGTTTTCAAAATTGCCTCATTCAGGAGAGGTACGACCTGATGTATGTGGTCGAGGTACATGTGTATGCATGCGTCGATGTGGTGTTGGTCAAACGTAATGGCAGCATCTATTACTGATACATCCCCGTCCGTATTGGATAAAGTCCGAGGAGAAGAAAGGAACGAAAGAGCTTCGTTGCCGTCCTGTTTTGCCCGTAATTCATTGAGAACTGTCGCCCTTGCACCTCGGTTGCCTCCAAGTCCTCGGGGTGATTTGAAGGTGCACATCAAGTCTGAGGACAGGCATCCTGAACATGGCTGGGATCCATTACATTTAATCTTGCGGCGTCGACAGGCGTCACATGCCTTTGAGACCGGTCGCCTATTCGTACGTGTTGCTCGTTGCATGTTAGAAATCCATCGGCACCCATGTCGCAGCCAGTTGGAAGAAGGTGGAATGGGGACAATGTATGCGTCGCGCGCGATGAGGTAAGTTAACCGAGCGTGGCTGAGCGACCTGATTGGCCAAGGCTTTTACAGGTACCGTACTCTGTGACTGCGTCTCCTGAGCCATCCCATTATTTATCAGCGAAGTTGACATATTGAATCCCGGCCATTGCATGTGCTCAAATTGGAACTTGTACAGTGAAGATTGTGTTTGTATCATCTTGTAAGGAATCTCGACCTAGGTGGGCAGGATATCCTACAAATACGCATGTGTGGGCATGTGTTCGCAAGGAGCACAATAGAGGTACAGTGAACTACCCAGAATATAAACAGATATCACCTTGAACTGTGCAGCATATGGATAAAGAATCCAGCAATTCAATTTATCTAATATCACACTCAGCGGTGACCCGGCATACAGCGCGGGCCTCTATTATATATCATACCCCACCCAGAAGACCCTCGACTATCAATTGGCACACAAGCCATGCTCAACACACCACCAGTATATACACCACACCCACACACCAACAAAACAAAAATCCCCCCCCACCCCTCACTCATCCTCCAAAAACTTCAAAAACTGACAAAAGCACTCGCGTCCACAAAATGCACACGGCGACTCCTCCGCCATCAGCTGCACCACCCCATTACCACTCCAGTCGTAATCACCGCTCTCAGCCCCATCCCCATCTCCACATCCACCTACCTCTCCCGTCCCCATTTCCACGGGATCACCGTGCTCCGCTTCCCCCTCTCCGCTTGCACAACCCAAGTGCTCCACGATCTCGCCAGCACCCTGCCCAGCAGCCGTCTCGAGCCACCAGAATTCTTGCGTCCAGGGATCGATATGATACACCCAAGCGCCTATGTGCGCATCTTGCGCAATTTGGCCCTTGCCGTGGGTGTCGAATGGGATGTAAGTAAAGGGGGGTGGTGATGGGAGCCATAGGCCCGCGCAGCTGCATAGACCGCAGCCACAGAGTGGGCAGGCATATGGTTCTGGTTCTGCCGACGTTGCTGGTGGTGATGGCGGTGATGGCGGTGATGGCGGTGATGGCGGTGATGGCGGGGCCGTCAAAGGAGAGGATATGTTGTGTTGGCGATTGTGACGGCGGTGTTGGCGTTGATGTTGATGTTGACGGTGATTCGACATTGTGATGGTTATGTATAGTGAGTAGAATTTGTCTTGTGGCTTTTTGCTGTGAGCTATAGTGTAATTTGAGGTAGACAGTGTGCGCATTGACGAAAATTGTGTGCGTGTGTGCTTTGTTGTGTTGGATATGAGATGTAAGATATGAAGGAGGGAGGATGTGGGACTATGGAGACGAAGAGGTTTTATAAGGTTGTGTGATGGAATATATTATATTCGCAGTGTACCATACTTTGGAAGGTACGCTAAATGCTGAATATACTCCATCTCGTGAATCTCGACCTACCAGACAAGGCTGCTGATGACAGTTGTTTGGTTCAGGATCCGTCATAATTCCCAACTGCACACCCATCAATTACACAAGCCTCTGCCCTCCAAGTCTGAACAACACACTTCCACCTCCAGGCTTACTCACCACCACAGCCTGAGCGAGCTTCTCCGCGGTGATGCCAGGGAATTTCTTCTTGTAGTACTTCTCCTCCCATGCCTTCTTGACCGCATCCACCTTGTCCTTTGGTACAAGATGCACACTACATCCTCCCCACCCAGCGCCAGTGAGTCGACTCCCACAGGAACCTGCAGCGCGCGCTAACTCGCATAACTCGTCAAGCTCGGGGCAACTGCAGTCGTAAATGTCGCGGCACGAATCTTGTGTCGAGTTCATGAGTTCGCCGAGGGAAGTAAGGAGCTCTTTACCGCTAGATGGCGGCGATGAGAGTAAGGCACGGAATTTGAGAACGCGGAGGGCTTCCGTGAACACGTGGAGGGCACGTTGGCGCAACATGAACCTGTCAGCGCGGACAGGGAACTTTGACATGTAACGCTCGTTTAGTTCGTCGACGGAAATGCCGAGAAGCCCGCTGATCTGTTCTCGCGTGTAACCTTCTTCCTGTGGGAGGTAATTTTCCGTATGTTGGACGAGCTTGTGGAGTTGTGTCTCAAAGTCTGCGACGGATACCTTGGTATTGTCTGCTACACCCTCCTTCTCTTCAAAGTAGGTGTCGTGGAAGCCTCGAAGACTGACACCTAGGGGCGAAGAATCCGCGGGTAGGTTCTTCTTGAGACCAAAGGCTTTGGCAAGGAACACGGCGGCCAGGGTGCATTCTACCACACGCAGGTTATAACAGACTGGTGCGGTCACATGTTTGTCCGCGGCGACGAAACTCTGGGCAGTAACGAAAGCGAGTTCGGGATCCGTCTGAGGAAAGTCGATGTTTGTGAAGTCGAGGCTGGGCTTGAAAGAGACGTACAGGGCGGAGCCACGGAGGGAGAAAACGGAGGCCGCTTGGTCCATACTAAATCACGTCAGCACTATTCGTTCCGGAGGAGGAAAGAGTCGCACCCTCCAGAATTTACACCGACCGAACGCTCAGAAACAATGGCAAGTTCGCAAAGCTCTTTCTTGTCGACATTCTCCTCGCCATTGGCCGCCAACACGGCCAAAGCGCTGGTACAGACAACGGATGCAGAGCTGGATAAACCACCCCCACTTGGGACGGTACCGTCGCATACAATGTCCATACCGACAGATGTGAATTTACCACCCCGCTTCTTCTGGAGTAGCTGCGAAACGCCCTTCAGGCCTGATTTGAAGTAATTAGTCCACTCGTGCTCCGAGGCGTCGATGGGAATTTCGCCTTCTGGAATCTCAAATTCGCGGGCAGGAAATTTATCCGAGTTAAGGTTGGCTATCCGTATCCTGGGCTTCTCTTCTGTAGGCCGCACAGCTACCGCCATGATGAAGTCGGCCGTAATGGCCATGGGTAGTACCTCGTACAGTGAGTAGTCAATGTGCTGTGAATCGTGAGCATTGAAGCAACTCAAGAAAGGGACAACTAGCACACCTCGCCAATGATATTGACTCGACCCGGGCTGCGAGCCACAAACTCCGCCTGCTTGCCATACAGGTCTTGGAACCTTGCCAGCAAGCTGTCCCATCGCTTCGTCTCTATAGGTAACGCGTCCTCGTCATAGATGTCGCGCAACGACGTTGCGGTGGGAACAGCCATGACAAAAGGAAAGAGTGTAATATGAGAGCTGCAAGGGTGAAGGACAGGTACAGGAAGGGAGACAATATGAGAGCTGCAAGGGTGAAGGACAGGTACAGGAAGGGAGACGGCAGTATAGGGCGATTGGAATTGAGGAGAAGGGAATATTTATTTCGGTCGTCGCGCGACAGCGAAGTGTATGGCGGGGTGCGACTCGACGTGAAGTGGGGGGCGTCCTCCAGCCTTGCCTCTTCCAGAAGCGCATCCGCCAGCTCTAGCCGCAGCATCATAGCTTCCTTCAGCTGCAGGTACCGGTACACACGCACTGTTGACGATACCACAGCCGAAGAGTAAGGACAGAAGCTTGCTCAGAATCGACAAATTGTCCCTCTGGCTCCAGTCCAGTCGCATGCGCCC